TTATGAGTGGTACACTGATGGTAGCAGTACTGTAATAGATGGGCAAAGGAGGGCGGGTTATGCTGTTGTGACCCTCCATGACACTGTGGAAGCTGAAGGTTTGCCTGCTGGGACCTCTGCCCAGCTTGCCGAACTAATAGCCCTGACCCGTGCACTTGAACTGTCAAAAGGAAAGCGGGTCAACATTTTTACTGATTCAAAGTATGCTTTTGGTGTGCTGCATGCTCATGCTGGCCTATGGAAGCAAAGGGGAATGCTGACAGCCCAAGGCTCCCCAGTCAAGTACGGGCCCCAAATCCTCCGGCTCCTAGAAGCCGTACAACTCCCCTCGGAAGTGGCTGTGGTACACTGTAAAGCCCATCAAAGGGAGGATCAAGATGTGGCCAGAGGTAATGCCCGGGCAGATAGAGAGGCTAAGCATGCTGCCACCCTGCCATCCCCTCAGGCTGAGAACGCCCATATGCATGCCCTTATCCCATCAGTAGGGGAGCTTCCAACCCCTCAGTACTCTGGGGAGGAGAGACAGCTAACTGACAAACTCAGTCTCCGGGAAAAGGAGGGATGGCTCCATTCCCCAGAAGGGAAGGTCCTCTTACCAAAGGGCCTAATCCGGCCAGTGCTGCAGAAACTACATCAAACCACTCATGCTGGCAGGGAAGCACTTATCCAGCTAATGGGAAAATACTTTATCACTTCCGGACTCCAACCCCTGGCTGCGCAGGTACAAGCGGACTGCTTAGTCTGCCAAAAGAATAACCCCCGACCGGGACATCCTGTGCCACCAGCTGCCCTAGAACCCACTCCGGGCCCCGGACAAGTGTGGCAAATAGACTTTACTGAGTTTTTCCGGACCCAAGGGTTCAAATATCTCCTTGTCATAGTGGATCGGTTCAGCGGATGGCCAGAAGCCTTCCCATGCTGTAACTGCACTCCCAGAACAGTGGCCCTCAAGTTTGTTAAAGAGATCATTCCTCGCTTTGGACTCCCCCTGTGGATGGAATCTGACAATGGGACACACTTCACGTCAAAAATCATTCAAAGCATCTCACATGCCTTACAGATCCCCTGGAAACTCCATACGCCCTGGAGACCGCAAGCCAGTGGTGTAGTGGAGCGTACCAATCAGACCCTTAAACAGCATCTCTCAAAAGTGTGCCAAGAAGCCTCACTGCAATGGCCTGATGCTTTGCCCCTCGTCCTACTCCGTATCCGCGTTCTCCCAAAGGGTAGATTAGGGCTCAGTCCCTTTGAAATTATGTTTGGAAGGGCATGGCCTATGAATGGCACCCCGGTTCTGTCAGGGGAATGGGAGTTGGGTAATGGCTTTTTGTCACAGTATATGTGTTCCCTGTCTGCTGTTCTCTTGTCTCTTCACAGGCATACCAAGGATTCCCAGCCTCTCCCCTTGGACTCTCCCGTTCACTCCTTACAGCCCGGTGACTCTGTGCTTGTTCGCACCTGGAAAGACGAGCCTCTCCAGGAAAAGTGGAAAGGACCCTATACCATCCTGCTGATCTCCCATACAGCGGCAAAGATCGAGGGACACCAGAACTGGATCCATCACTCTCGTCTGAAGGCAGTAACCGCCCCCTCGTCAGCAGGACAGTGGACCATCCAACCTGCTGACTCCTCATCTAGTGACGATCTCGGGCTAAAGCTACTGTTTAAAAGACACAAATAGCGGGCACCTTAATGCTAAAATGGGCCCACCCAGGTACTGGAGACCCTGGGTTGGGAAGACTCTGGTAATAATTAATTGGGTAACATTGTTATTCTCTGTATTGGTATTTCCAAACTGTGCATATCGGGAGCATAACTCCTTTGTTTTGCTTGCGCACCATGTTGCTAATTTAACAAACCAGACTGATTGCTGAGTATGTGCTCCAACTCCACTATCCCCCAAGACGGGAATGCCCCTTGACATGCTGCCCTTGACCCTAGCAGAATTAGCCACCACCAAAGAGCAGGAAAGAACGAACTCACCGTTCTGGAACAAGATCTCTTTACAGCAAGCCACCTATCAGGACCAGGAGTATTCAGTTGCAGTACTCACTGAGGGAGTGTTATGTTTTACCCGAAACCAATCTGATCACTATGGGCATCCTGTGGGAAAGAGCTCCTGTGTTATTACACAGTGGGCTGATGGGTATTGGATAAAGACCAACAGGGGAGGCCAACAGTGTGGGTGTAATGGTTCCTCCCCTTTTAGGGAAATACTTACAAATAATCTTACCACAAAAAAGGGGTTTGAAAATGTAACTTGCTGTCCAGTTAATATCTCCAATGTAGCAAGCCCAAGTGAGAAAACTCAGAGCCAAGGCTGTTGAGTGTTCTCAAAGGGGGGAGTTGTTGGGGACACTGGGGCATGGCCACTAGGTAACTCGAGGGGATGAAAGACCACGAGTGTCGATGAAGCCCCCTCGCACTAGGCCCCGGTGTCCTTGGCCCCCCTCCTCCTGCCTGGAGGCACTCACAGCAGCTCTGCGTGCTAGGCCCAAGTGTCCTTGGCCCCCCCGCCTGGAGGCACACACAGCAGTTATGCTGAGAATCTGCAACAGTATGTTGCAGAGTCAGACTGCCTGAAACTAAGCAAGGCCAAACGGGAGATATGGAAGAACAATGCTGAATAAAGCAGCTTTATGTATAGTTTAACAAATGATACAGAGAATCAGGGAACTAGCTGGGAACTGGATTGGCTGGCTATATGGATACTTGGGGCAGCTTGCTATTGGATAAGTATGCTGGGAAAAAGGATGTATAAAAGCCTGTGTAACTTCCTGCTCTGTTGTGCAGGATTTGAGATTTTATTCTCCCTGTACCTTTTTGCAGCTGCAAATAAACTTTTCTGCTTCTCCACCCCGTTGTGATTATTGGGTGTAGCACACCGGGTAACGAACCACTCAAGCTGTTGTTCAGCCTCTCGGCACTGGGTGCCGGCAACACTCTGAAGGCACTGCCCTGCCAAGAGCAGCGCAGAAGTAAGGGTGGCAATACTATAGCATGCCACCCTTACTTCTGAGCTGCTGCCTTCAGAGCTGGGTGGCCAGAGAGTGGCGGCTGCTGACTGAGGACCCAGCTCTGCAGGCAGCAGCGCAGAAGTAAGGGTGGCAATACCATGCCATGCCATCCTTACTTCTGCGCTGCTCCTGGTGGTGGCTCTGCCCTCAGAGCTGGGCTTCCGGCCAGAAGCCACCATTCTCCAGCTGCCCAACTCTGAAGGCAGTGTCTCCGTCATCAGCAGCACAGAAGTAAGGGTAGAAATACTGCAACCCCCCCTACAATAACCTTGCGATCCCCCCCACAACTCCTTTTTGGGACCCCCTGCAATTACAACACCATGAAATTTCAGATTTAAATTTCTGAAATCATGAAATGTATGATTTTTAAAATCCTATGACCATGAAATTGACCAAAAAGGACTGTGAATTTGGTAGGGCCCTAACTATAGTGATGGGAGACTGCCTCGCCTCCTGTAAGCTGCAGCTGTAGCACGTTACTGTTAAGTGTAGGTTTATAGTAATACCAAGGTGAAGTTTACTTAACAAAGCTTGAGCTAAAGATTCAAATAAAATCAAATATAAGGATTTAGAAACATAAGGTTACAGGTAAAAGAAAAACATAAGAGGCAATCTATAGCCTATACTTATTGACAGGTTACTTTCCTTTCTAATAATCTACTTCTCACTCAAAGGTCATTCCCTGCAGTACTTGACCAGTCCAAGAGTTGGGAACCACTTTTCATGAGACACCCCCACTGGCAGAAAAGTCTCCTCATGTACTACATAATTTGGGCCATTTCTTCTGCTCTCATACAGTAGCGCAGGAGACACCCTCTTCAAGAACCCTCCTGGGATGTGTTTGTCTTTGTCAATGCTGAAGTCTCGATCTGGATCGGACATTAAACATGGGCTGGGTCCGGGGATGTCCATTGTTCTCCCTGTTGATTGAGTTAGTCCTGAGACCTGCCTTACCTTAGGTGGCAAGTCTCACTTCAACAGTTTTGCAACCTAATGTTCTACATTTTACACATCTCATCAGCTATCGGCCTATAAACATCTGGCAGTAACCATGGCACTCTGCTAGTTCTTAGTTCTCCGCAGAGACCACACACAACCCCCTCACTGTAATAGTAGGAAAATGGTCAGACACCGATGTGTCACATGTCTGTGTCACACCTGCTGAGCTGGGTGCACACACACGCACCCCAGGTAGGCTGGTGGCTCCGTGAACTACTCTGTGGACTCCCTTACACACCATCAGGGCCCAGGCGTGTATACCCCAACCCAGTGCCGTTCCCCCTCTGTTCTGCGGGGGGGGGGGGTGCGTGCGACTCAGACCTTCCCCGCCCTCTGAGTCCGGCACTTTCCCTACAGCCCCTAAAAGTAACAACCAAATACAAAAAAAGAAAAGGAGGACTTGTGGCACCTTAGAGACTAACCAATTTATTTGAGCATGAGCTTTCGCGAGCTACAGCTCACTTCATCGGATGCATACTGTGGAAAATACGGTGGGGAGATTTATACACACAGAGAACATGAAACAATGTGAAGTGGGCTGTAGCTCACGAAAGCTTATGCCCTAATATATTTGTTAGTCTCTAAGGTGCCACAAGTCCTCCTGTTCTTTTTGCGGCTACAGACTAACAGGGCTGCTACTCTGAAACCAAATACAAGTAAACTTCCGAAAGAGTCGTTGCCTCTGCTGGGTCCTGGCAGCTCAGTAGCTCATGGGGTCCTGACGGCGGCGTTCCAGTCGCTCTGGGAAATAGAGGCGTCGCGCCCGGTCCCTGTTGGCTTGGCTCAGTCCGGCTGCATACACTCTGCCTTGCTCTGACTTCCCATCCTTTAATAGACTCTCTGGGCAACTACGGTGCTGCCAGGAGCTGGGGGGTCTGAGGTCCCGCCCCCTCTTTTGTCGGCCAATCAGAGTGTACCGGTGTGGCTCGCCGGGGGTAGCTGCTGGGTCGGGCGCGAGCTGTAGGGAGGGAGTTGGGTATTGGCCGGGTTTAGTCCGCTCGGGCGGGGCCGAGCCTGGCGCGGGGCAGAGCGAGCGCTCCCCCGCCATGATCCCCTCCCGCCGCCTGTGAAGGGCCCTGGCGAGCTGAGTCTGCGGGCGGCAGCAGGACCCCGCCCGGCGCGCTGCGCTCTGCGCCCTGCCTCCCTCCCCCGCGCCGGCTTTGAGTAGAGGCTGGCTCCGCTTGGCGGGGGAGCGACTCGTTGGAGCTGCCCGGCTACCGCTCTCCGGCGCCTCTTCCCCGCCGGCTGGCCAGTGAGGTCTGGGCCCCTTTGTCCAGCCATGAGGAGCAGGAGTAACTCCGGGGTGAGGCTGGATGGCTATGCCAGGCTGCTGCAGCAGACCATCCTCTGTCACCAGGTGAGGTGGGCTGAGCTATCAGGGCGGCAGCTGGCGGCCGAGGGGAGGTGGGCGCCCCGCTGACTTGGAGCCTGGGAGCTCGGCTCAGTGCTTTGCAGTGGGGTGGCAGGCAGGGGTAATGATGGCACTTGGTGTCGACAGTGTGCTGCTCCATTCTCGTGATCCTTAGCAGACTCTGCCAGCTCATTGCAACCCACCGATGCATAGGGTCATCCAAGGTTGGAAATGGGGAAACTTAGGTAGAGAGCTGCTTCAAGTCCACATGTCACGTCTGTGTTGGAGCTTGGATTCTCTAGCTATCTTTGGTACTTGTCTAATTCTCTCTGGTAGTATCCGAAAGCACCCTGCAATCTCTAACGTATAGCCTCACAACACCCTGTGAGGTAGGGCAGTGCTGCTAGCCCCACAGTACCGATGGGGCACCAAGGCACAATGATGCTACAGCCCAGATCCTCAACGGTATTTGGTTCTTAATTCCCACTGAAATCAATGGAAGCTAGGTGCCTAAATACTTGTGAGGGTCTGGGCCTAAGTGACTTTCACAAGGTCAGACAAGAAGGAATTAAGATTAGGACTCTTGAGTAGGGCTAGCACTGGACCAGCCTTCCTCTCTGGGAGGAAAGAAATTAGAAATTGGCATCCCATGGTTTACAGTCCTGTGTTCAAACCACTGTGTTGCCTTGCCTTTCTGTGAATGTTGTGTTCGCTGTTCAGTTTCCCTGTCAACCCAAGTGACAACTTTGCACTTTCACTATCACTAGCTGGGTGTCTTGAGTTGTATTTTGGGAAATGTTTCATATCATGGATTTTCTTTAAGGGGCTTGGATCATTTGATTCAAATCCAGAGAGCAGAGCATGCACATACGGTCTGTAAATGCATAGGCCAACCGGGGAGAGCATGCCATCAAACCATATGGATGAGAGCAGAAACACTGCTAATCTTCAGTAAAATGAATCTCTGTTTAGAGAACATGTATGAACTAAACCCTATGTCACGTAAAATGAGGGTGCACTCTTCACTATGCTAGAACAAGAAGAAACCAGGAGCTGATCCACATGTTTGGTCTATTTAATGCAGTTATACTTGTTGAATAGACCCTTGAAAAACTAAAGAAGCTGTCAAGGTTGTTCAAGCCCAAACTTCTACGTACACTTCTTATTCTTCTTAAATCCATGTGATTCATTCTCTGCAGATTGCGTCATGGTTAAAGATTGGAGCTGGAGACCAGGGCAAAGAACTGAGTTCTAATCAGGCTGTGCCATTGACTTTGTGGCTTTAAACAAAGTTTGTCTTCTCCTTTCCTGCTCTGTAATATGGGATAATACCTGCCTGAGGGTTATTAAGAGAATTAATTACACATCACTTTGAAAATGTAAAGCATTATGTGTGTGCAGTGTAGTTGTAGTAGTGTCAGTCCCAGAATATTAGAGAGACAAGGTGGGTACAGTAATATCTCTCATTGGACCAACTTCTGTTGGTGAGAGAGACGAGCTTGCAAAGATCGGAAGAAGAGCTCTGTGTGGCTTGAAAAGCTTGTCTTTCTCACCAACAGAAGTTGGTCCAATAAAAGTTCTCCTCCACCTTGTGTCTCTAAAACATTATATGTCAGGTTTTTAAAAAAATATACTCATCATTAGTGAATAGGAAATATTTCCTGAGAGCTGTGAACTTGAAGGCCATCATCTCCTGCAGGATGTAAATCTTCATTTAAAATTGTACCAAAACTCAGGGTTTTTTTAATAAAGAAAACTTTCCAGCTGTCACCATACAGCACTGTCTTTCTGAATCTGCAGACAGACTTCTCCAGTGCTGCTGCTCTTATTTTTCCCCAGGCTGTTGCAGAGTGAAATTAACTTCCCTGTGAAATTAACTTCCCTGGTCAGTTCCCCTTGCTGGTATTCAGAGTCTGGTGGGCAGCAGTGAAAAGACTGAGCATTTTGTTGATTTCACCTTATATCTGATTTGGAGAGGTATGAGCAGTAGCTGAGGTAGGGCCTGGAGCTTTCCCCAGGGGAGGATTTAAAAAGTAGAGGTTAGGGGAGGGGTAGAATAGTGGGGGGGGACCCCTTCCCCTTCAGATCAGATGCTAAGGGTATGTCTAAGCTGGAACTGGAAGGTGTGATTGCTAGTATTGAAAGACATACCTTCTCTAGCTCTGCTTGAACTAACATGTTAGGACTACAATGTAGATGTAGAAGTGCAAGTGGTGGGACAGCTAGCCACACAAATGTGTGTCTAGGGTCTCAGAAGGGATTGTATTCGGTCTGGCTTAGAGTTTGCATGGGTATGTCTACCCCAGCTGGAAATTACATCTACAGTGCCAACATAGACATACGCTAAGAGGCATGGTGGAGGGGGTGGGTTATGGAGATCCTCACTACAAGTCAAAAAGCCTTGGCCTAGGGAGACTGTGGGATAGGAGGCTTCAATTTTCTAACATCTACTGTGCAGAGGTTGCTATGAAGGATGGAGCTCCTAGTGAGGGTCCAAAGGCAGTGCCATGTTTGGAATCCCAGGAACAGGGGGCTGTGCTTCTCACCAGGGCAGATCTGTGTGACTGGGGGGAGGGGAGTGTTTGGGCATGGTGCCCTTCTCTTTTGGATCGTCGTTTACCTGGTAGGTGTCCTCACAAACGCTTCAGGCTCTAGTCTAAGTGCTTATTGCAAACCTGCCAGCATCCAGGGTTAACACCACAATAATGTATGTGTGCAAGGGTGGGGGTGGAGGCAATTTTAATATGGAAACAGATCTTGCTTCCTTGTTTTTCAGCTCCCTAGTGCATTACAGGCTGGAGCTCCCAGAGCTCTCAAATTCATGACCTTCTGAGCCACAGGCCATTCATCTGCATTTGGAAACCAATTGCCAGGCCTGGCAGTCCTTCTAGAGCATTCAATTTCAGACTTCTGAGCGGCTAACTCCCCAAATTCAAAGTGTCCTAGATCCCCGAAGAATCTGGATATAACAGGATGAGGTCATTGGTGTGGTGGGGGGGTATAGTGGGGGTGAGGGAAATGCACACTTCTGAGAGAAGGCAGCTGAGTGGCGGGGAATCGAGTCATGTGGGGTCTTCGGAGAAGCAGATTTACAGGGGAGTAACTATCTCTTCTCTGGTTTCAGAGTAGCAGCCGTGTTAGTCTGTATTCACAAAAAGAAAAGGAGTACTTGTGGCAGCTTAGAGACTAACAAATTTATTTGAGCATAAGCTTTAGTGAGCTACATCGGATGAAGTGACGCTTATGCTCAAATAAATTTGTTGGTTTCTAAGGTGCCACAAGTACTCCATCACTTCTCTGAAGATGTCCTACTGGTTCCTGTCCTCCTCCCAGGGTGCAGCATGCTGCAAACAATGTGGTGTGGGTGGGGCCTGTGTACGGAGGGATAGAGGTACCTAAATCAAATAAAGAGCATCACATTGTTTAAAGTATTCCTCTGCCTTTCTGACCAGTTGTGATTCAGCCATGGAAAGCTCTGAAGCTAACTGAGATTAGCTGTAGCTGTGGGAAAGCCTTTTCCACTGTGTACAGCCTGCCCTCTTCAGTTGAGAGAGCACCCTCCCTGCCAGGCCCTTGAAAGGGGTCCCAAACAATGAGTGTTTGTGTTACACTGGAGCGACTGATCTAGTGAATGGGGTTTTAAAACTAGGCTGGGTGAACTGAGATCATAGGACTGGTGGAGGGAGTTTGGCAGGAACCTGGTACAAATGCAGTGGTGTCTGTTTACATGTCAGTCATGATCTTTGCAAATGCCAGGCTGCGTGGTGCTGCAATGCCCACATGACACGTTAGCTATCCTCTTGGAGGAGTAGCCTTGCTCCTGCTCAGACTCCAAACAACGCTCTGGCAATTAGTGGTGTATCCTAGATTCTCTTTGTAATGCAGTAATATTTGGGTTTGCTGCCCATGGCAGATTCCTGAGCAGAGCAGGTGATAAGGACCCAGGAAGTTCAAAAATGTGTGAGAGGAAAGGGTGGTGCTCCTGTGCTGGGCAAACCCTTGGTGTGTGGCTGGTGGATGGCTGGCTGGATTGGACTCAGCAGAGAGGATCAGTGCACTGAGCTGGTGTAATGGCTCTGTCATGAATATAAAGGGAAGTGTAAACACCTTTAAAATCCCTCCTGGCCAGAGGAAAAATCCTCTCACCTGTAAAGGGTTAAAAAGCTAGGATAACCTCACTGGCACCTGACCAAAATGACCAATGAGGAAACAAGATACTTTCAAAGATGGAGGGGGGAGAAACAAAGGTTCTTTCTCTTTTTTGTTCCTGGCAAAAAAAAAAAAAAAAGGAATGGAGTCTTAGAACTTAGTAAGTAATCTAGCTAGATATGCGTTAGATTCTGTTTTGTTTAAATGGCTGATAAAATAAGCTGTGCTGAATGGAATGTATATTCCTGTGTTTGTCTTTTTGTAACTTAAGGTTTTGCCTAGAGGGATTTTCTGTTTTGAATCTGATTACCCTGTAAGGTATTCACTATCCTGATTTTACAGAGGTGATTCTTTTACTTCAATTAAAATTTTTCTTTAAGAACCTGATTGCTTTTTCATTGTTCTTAAGATCCAAGGGTTTGGGTCTGTGTTCACCTATGCAAATTGGTGAGGATTTTTATCAAGCCTTCCCCAGGAAAGGGGGTGTAGGGTTCGGGAGGATTTTTGGGGGAAAGACGTTTCCAAGCGGGCTTTTTCCCTGTTATATATTTGTTAGACGCTTGCTGGTGGCAGCAATAAAGTCCAAGGGCAAAGGGTAAAATAGTTTGTACCTTGGGGAAGTTTTAACCTAAGCTGGTAAAAATAAGCTTAGGGAGTTTTTCATGCAGGTCCCCACATCTGTACCCTAAAATTCAGAGTGGGGGAAAGAACCTTGGCAGGCTCATTCTGGAATTTGACTGTCTGGCTCGACTCCTTTGGTTGGCTGTGCTGTAGGAATGACTGAGACGATTCAGGCTGTGATTAACATCTACTGAGTTTTGTAGAACCCCGGGGTCATGTCCTGCTGCTGTTGGGATGTACATGCATAATGGAACAACCTTGGCAGATTGCTGGGCCCCTTGGGAGCATCTGGCTGCACAGAGGAATGCAGTGGCCTGATGGACTTTGCAGCAAAGAGTCTTAAGCTTCGACGTTCTTCTTCCAAGCTTCAAGCCTGAGTCCTGCAGTGTATGGAACCCAGTCCCTTGTGCTCACATCACAATACTCACCTGCCCACAAGTCACTTTGGGGGGAGACCCTGGGGAAGTTGGCAGTTGCCTGTCACCTCCTGCAGAACGTGGTGCTTCCAGAGAAAGGGTTAGATCTCTTAGGCAGAAGTTTTCAAAGTAGGTCCTAAGAGCTCTGCATTCTTAAGGTGTCTGCTACATTTCTGGCTGTCCCTTGTGAAACATCTGCCTTTGCAGCGTTGTGATCTGTGGTGGTGACTGCGGGTTTGTAGCTTTTCAAAAATGAGATGTCTTGAGCCTCAGAGAATTTGAGATTCTAGGGAGGAAGGAATGTCCAGTGGCTAGGACACCAGCACAGGACTTGGGAAATCAAGGTCCAGTTCCCCCCACTTTTCCATAGCTCCTTGTGTGACTTTGGCCAAGTTACTGAGACTCTGTGCTTCAGCTTCCCCATCTGTAAAATGGGGACAGAAGCACTTCCCTACTTCATAGGGGGGTAAGATGAAGACCTCGTGGTAATGGTGGGCCAGATGGGTAATGAGATAAGTAAGCTGACGATGCCTTAGCATATAACACTGAGCCCTTGTTGTCCCTTTTATTATGTTTACCTCGTGGATAAACAAGACTCTCTAGTTTTCTCCCATTCACAACCTGTTTATCTACCTAATGGCCAGCCTTCCCACAAGTTTTCAGGACTGGAAAGCTGATTTCATGTCTCTTTTCCTCCCTTGCCTGACCTCCCCTCATGCTGCAGGACCCGGTGACAGGACTGCTCCCAGCCAGCTGTGATCATAAAGATGCCTGGGTCCGGGATAACGTCTACAGTGTGCTGTCCATGTGGGGCCTGGGCTTGGCGTACCGCAAAAATGCAGACCGTGATGAGGACAAGGCAAAGGCATACGAACTGGAGCAGGTATGAGAAACCTATGGAAGGGATGGCTTGGAAAGCTCACAGCTGATGTCCCGAGACTCGCATGCAACTCAGACCCTCTAAACACTTGAGACTGAACTAAAGATTAAACTCTTCTTGTAAGCAGGGCCCCTTGTATTTCATCACAAAGTAGTAGAGGAATTTGCTGTGGAATTCCATTTTACTCACAAAACAGTACACCAGAATAACTGTTGATTTTTCTTTCAAGATTAAGGCTTCTAGCCCTTCTAGTTGGCCCTGACACTTAAGGTTAACAGGTGCACCCAAAGTCTGTCTGTCTGCCTGCCGACAGCCTGAAACAATCGCTCTGAGAGGAGTGAACTTCTCCAGTTCCACTCACCAGGGTGTTTGTCACCATTAGGCTTCGGAGTTAACAAGACTGCTCTCCATTTGAGTGAAGCTTCTATCTACAGTATCTATCCCACAGTCCCCAAATGCTTCCTTGGAGCCAGAAGTCTCAGCTGCTGAAACCTCCAATCTCCCCACCTCTCCTCCCCCAGTCCACAGAAACTTCTACATGGCTTTTTTCACCAGAGAATTTTGCAGCACGGTGGAAATGTAGGGGCACTAGTGAACTTAGTATTGAATTACACAATTGGGGATCTGATAGCACAATGACGGCTACTGGTGTAAGAATCATAACTAGGCAGATGGAAAAGGAATTGTATTCTGAATGTCTTAATCACTTTCATATTTAATTCAATAAAATTCCCTCCCCCTCTGTCTTTGTTCCTTTGAAGCTGCTGAAGATTCTTTACTCTGCAATGGGGAAGTAGAATCTAGTTCACTTGCCATGGGTCTTGTTTGTCAGGCTAACATAAAATGAACAAACCCCAAAAGGTCTGACATTGGAGATACAGCAAGAGCATAGTAACAGACCCATGGAGTTTAAGGCCAGATCATCTAGGCTGTCCTCTTGTATATCACAGGCCCCCAGCACCACACACAATCTCTCCCCTTGCACCTAGCCGCCTGGGATTAAAAAAACCTACAGATAGTTTAAATTCGGGCAAATCAAGTGTCACTTGCCCTTTAACCTATGCTGTAACAAATCCCTCTCTGGGGAGATCTGTATGTGATGGATGGGCTGTGTATCTGTTAAAGTTCCATGCCATATTTCCAATGTTATTGTTGCTCTCTTTCATGGAGGTCAGCTGTAAGAAGAGAGGCAGGATGGTCCAGTGATTAGGGTGCTAGCCTATGACTCGGTAGCCCCAAGTTTCAGTTCTCTGCTCTAACACAGACACTGTGTGACCTTGAATAAATCACTCAGCCTCTCTGGGCCTCCGTTCCACACCTGTACAATGGGGATGATAGCAATGCTCTGCCTGATGGGGTGTTATGAGGATGAATTTATTAAGGATTGTGAGGTTCTCAATACTTTGGTATTGGGGGTGGGACCATAGAAGTACCTTAGATAGAAGATTGAGGGAAGAAGTCTTTGTTAATCCTTATCATTCAGAATTAACCCCAGAAATAGCCAAAGGAAATGTGGAGCCATTCTGGACTGCTGCTCTTCAAGCTGCTGATAGCATCTTAAGGCCCCAGATAGGGAAAGCCAGGGATCTAAAAGCTGTTCTCGGCCAAAGGGCGTGGTTACGCTGGAAACTTCAAAGCGCTGTCATGGGAGCGCTCCCGTGGCAGCGCTTTGAAGTGCGAGTGTGGTCATGGGCGAGCACTGGGAGAGAGCTCTCCCAGCACTCCTGGTAATCCACCTCCACAAGGAGATTAGCTCTGAGCGCTGGGAACACAGCTCCCAGCGCTTGGAGCCTGTTAAAACAAGGGTGCTTTAAAGCGCTCGTTATACCAATAAAATAAAGATCAGCAGGATCTTATTAAAGGGGATAAGAAAAAAAGTCACATTTATTGTGAATACAAAAACAATCATATTAGGCAGTCAGTTATAGCTATAACATTCCATTCAGTTTCACATTCATTCACGCATTCGTTCATACACACACACACAGGTTCTGCAGCTGCTGTATAGTTACCAGTCCTGAATGTAGCTTGAGTTTGTGGCTTGGGTTTGCAGCTTGTGGCTGCTAACTGGCCAGGAAAGCCGGGCACGAGGAAGAACTGGGTCTCTGTTGGGCATGCACCGATGCCCTTCCATCTTGGCAGAAGAATGTTACCCTCCAAAGTCTTCCATCTCACCCATCCTTTTTGTAGGCTTTAGTTTGAATCCAGAGTCTATAGGTCTTGCTGTGTCACACTGCCTCTGGGTTTCGTGTCATTGATCACCCATCAATTGCAGACATGACTTTCAACCTAGGACCTGGCTTTGATGTTTCTTCAATTGTACTTTTGTTCTTTTCTTTTGAGGGTGGACTCCTCTTACTTTGTCAGGGCTGTTGTCTGCATCTTCAGCTGTTGAGTGTTTACACTTTATTTCATCCCGACAGGCTGGTGCTGGAGGTTGATTCCATCATCCATACATAACTTCCTTCACACATCTAAACTAATAAGATTACAGCAGGGTTTTGCAAAAATGAAAGGTTGCAGCAAGCTGTTACAAAATGAAGTGAGCATTTTAAAATGGAGTTTGGGACAAGTTTTAAAATGGAGTTTAAGTTATAATATGGACAAGTGTAAGGAATGGCAAACAGTGAACAGAAGTTACACTGTTTCAACATCATAAGTTTCAGCGATTTAAGCAGCAATTGGATTGAAAGTGAAACTCAATTAGTCAGTTATTGGGGTAACCGGTTTTGTGAATGAATGTTTCATTCATAAAACGTTGCTTATGAAGTTATAATAAGTGAACAATTAAAAACAATTTCATTGATTAGTTCTACACTCTGACTTGCTGCGCTCAAGGGGGTGATTTTTCACACCCCGAGCCAGCAAGTTTGAGCGCTATAAAATGTAAGTGTAGTCAAGCCCAAAGGGTTTGTTCTCTGACCTGGATCTTGCTGAAAAATTCCAGGTGAGCCCCGGGAGTTCCCTGAGTAAATCTCACTAGGATCAGAGGAGAACTCTGGAGTGCGAACAGCTCGTGTGTGTGTGTATCTAAAGCAGAGCTGCTTAGAACTCTGGGGAATCTGTATTTGTATCATCTAAATCATCAAACACTTGATGACTCAAACATTTTAGAGCCAGGCTTATTTCTCATAGCATGCTAACCACTGGCTTCACTAAATCCCTAAATCTACTCCATGTGGAGCCTTGCAACCAGAAAAACACATGGAACATATAGGCTAATGGGGAAGCTGATTGCCTTGGCAGGATGGCATTTCAGACCCTCTCCTCCCATGATGTGCATCACCTACTCGTCCCTGGTGGGTGGTTTCAATTTCCCTTGTATGTCTTGTCTTGTAGATAGTTGACTCTTTTGGGCAGGAATGTAGGACTCGATGCTCCCTTCAATGGGGTGGGGAGAGAATCAGGCAACTCCCTGATCCTGTGCCAGCCCAGCTCTGGAATCAGTTATTTCAGCCTAGTGAGGAATGGAGGGTAGGTCCAGGAATATTGTCTTTTGTGGCATTGTAAAGCTTGCATTACAGGGATAGGTGCATTAAAACTGCATGGCTGAAATGTTTACAGCTCAATGCTAGCACCTCTAGAGAGAGAGAGACACTTAAGGTATTTCTGCACACTCTATTGTGTGGGATATCTTGGGCAACATGAAAAACCAGAGTACTGACTAGGGGAGAGAGAATAACTAACTACCCAGTTTCGGTGGCACAGGACAGTGGGATGTTATAGCTGAAGTACTGCATGCAGTGGACCAGGATCTGAATTACGGTTGGATTATCCACCTCTTGTGGATGACACAGAAGAATTGAGCATTAAGAGGGCCTTGAATATGGCGAGGGTTTGAGGCAGTATGGTGGGGATCTGCTACTGGCAAGATGGGAGTATAATTGCAGACCCCATGCAGGGGGCAGTTTGGAAAAGGCACGGGGTGGGAGTGGGCGGAGATGACAGGTGGGATGCAAAGCTGGAATTGTTAACAGAATGGACCTGGCTGGAGATACAGACCTGAGTGGGATTGTCAGGTAGGGAATCATTCAGGTGATATCAGGAGCTAACGCCAGTGTTACTTGGGCTGGTGAGTCGCTTGGATGCTGAATGTCTGTCACTGCTGTACTGAGGAGGAGAGCTGGACCAAATCCCCACCACATGTGTTGAGGGCATCTGACTCTAGACACTGACTTCACAGCTGGCCAATCTTAACCACTGGATCCTGATATCCTGCTGGGAATCCTGAGGCGTGTACCTTTCTCAGAGTACAAATGATAGGCCCCCTGAACCCAGGTTTATTCCAGAGATCTGCAGTAGTAGGACAACAGAGTCCACTACAATAAGGCACTTTCTTCCATCAATGTTATGTTATAAATTAAATTGATGAGCGCCAAAGAGCTGGGTTTCTTTTCCCCACAAAGGGGTTAGTGTCTATCTGGCTGAGGAATATGACTAGCTAGCACAGCTAAATTACTTGTATTTTTAAATCGGAATGTGGTGTTTGTGCTGAGTGTGATGTGGTGGGACCTGTTGATGATGCTGCAAGCCTAGTGCCCATGGATAAGGTCTGCTTTCAGTGAAGCATCCCTGCTCATGCTCTGCCTTCTGGATCCTCAGCAGGCCTGCTCCAGGCTATGCATGGGCACCTAGACTGGCTGATCAGCTGGGGGCTCCCTGGCTATAGTGCCCAACGTGCAGTGTGCAGCCTTGTTTGTCTTCTGTTAGGGGAGGGGTGGGCATTGCCCAGTCTGGGCCACCATCTAAGCAAAAATGCCCTGATTCCCCAGGGAGATCCAGGGGTTACTTCCTGGGGCTCTGGCAGCACCATATGGCACTGGACATGAGCAGTACATGTCTCAGCAACATCTGAATTTGCCCCTGTTGTTGTTGGGCTACTGAGGAAGGAGGAGGAGTACAGGGGTCCTGCTCCCTGGGGAACTGTCAGATTGGTGTCTCCAACTCCCTTCTGGGGTCCTGCAGGTAAAGGCAGAGGTGTGCTGTGCAGTGCAGGACAGACTGGCTCCACACATAACGACTGACCTCTCTCTCTCTCCTCAGTCCAGAGTCTCTTTCTGTAGGTATAAATGTCCTAACTTTGTCCTTTGCCTTATCTGACTCAAGGCTGATGCAGTCCTAGGGATTTTCTCCTCCCGCAGCAGCAGATCAGGTTGTCCCTCATGATCGGCTCTGCCCCAGCAGCTCCTCTCTCAGCCACTTACCCAGAAAGTAAATGCCATGGAGAATGAGAGCTGCGGGTATAATTACAGGCCGCAGGGTCTTGAAAGGTCATGAGCCAGATGCCATTGCTGAGTTAGTGCTCTTCCCATCCGGGGATGTGTTTAACAGGCCTGTTTTTCGTTCCTTTCTGCAGAGTGTAGTGAAACTGATGCGGGGATTGCTGCAGTGCATGATGAGACAGGTATGATACAGGTGGTGCCTCCCCATCCCCTGTAGAGCTGAAATTCTCCTGTTGTAACACACTGACTCAGCAGAGATCTGCCATCAAACTGATGACAAAAAAGCAGTCCTGGCACAGACACAAGGGTCTTTTGGGGAAGGCTTAAAACAAGCCTAGATCCCAGTATCCATCCAGTCACTGAATGTTCTGTCCATGCCATGGAACTAGTGTTCTTACCTCTGCTAGCCTGGAGTCCTAAAGGAATCCCTTCCCCAACAGGTTGCCAATCCCATTGCCCCGCTGGCATTGCCTCCGTCAATCGCTTTGTGTTCATACCATCAAAGTGACCCCTTTTTCTAGGTGTGCTGTATGATGCAAACACACCTGGGAAGGGTCCCCCTGTGGCCAGAACTCTCTTGTGGCAGTGGAGTTTTGTGTGGCCCTGTAGCCTGTTGAGGCATGAAAGTAAAGTACCATGGGCTTGGAATTTCCTGTCTCAAATGGGATTAAAATCTCAGCCTTTAGGCCCTGATAATGATACCAAGTGTGAATGAATCCCAACTCTGTTCCCATAAGGTTCCCTGGTCTCTGTTGCTGCCAATCTGTGCTCTTGTCCTTTTCTGAATCACGGTTTCCCTTTTACTGCCCCCCACCCCATCTCTGAACCACCTGTGGCTATTTCCCAGCTCCTGTGTACCCTTTGCGCCCCAGTGTGTTCCAGCAAGCTACCTCCTAACGGAGAAGTCCCCACAGCATCAGCTGGGGAGACGGAAAGGCTGCTACCCACAGTCTAATCCCTCCAGGTGGATCTTCTCCATTCAGTACTAATGCCAACTGTGCCAAGCCCCAGCTAGACACCAGGCGAATAATAATACCTAGCTCTAATATGACTGCTCCTTTCCCCTGGGCTTGTACCTGCTGTGCCAGAGCTCAGAACCCCTTCGTTCTCAGAACATGCATGGCCCAGAGTGATATTTTTTGTTGCTTTCTGGCGTTCAAGTACAAAATGCTGCAGTGACTCCCAGTGCTATCCGTGTTATCCGCTGGATCAGTTAACATGATGTTGGGGTGGCATAAGAAGTGGAATAGAATGTTTGGGTCCTGGCATGACACAGTCACGCCGCAAACGGTTACAGCCTGTGTGAACCACCAAATGTCTGCCTGCTTCCCTTGCTGCCATCCAACCAGTGGCTGGAGTGGGCATACGTGACCTGGAGTGTCTGTGCTGTTTGGGTTGCGGACATGCAAACCTAGAATGCCGTACCAAAAACGGGTATTGCGGGCTTGCTGTGACCTCGGCAGGGGGTGAAAGAATCCTCCTCCAGGCTGTGGGGACTGGGTGGATACTCAAGGTCTTGGGTTCCTGAGGAGCCTCTCCCTCCCCTGCTAACAGGGTGAAGTCTCTCTCTCCTCCCCCTCCCCGGCAGTTCTTAGCAGGCGGCAGTTCCAAGAAACCTGTAACTTGAAGCTGTTTACTCTGCAGTTTCTCATAACCTGCCTACAGGGCTCCATAGAGGGCTGGGCTAGGACACCCTGCTAGAGCCCTCCTGTGCCCCTGGCCCGCCCCACAGCCCCAGCTGTGAGCATGGCACTGGGGAAGCTAACTGTCTGTTCTTTTTCTAACTGAATGCTGCAGGTGGATAAGGTGGAGGCATTCAAGTACAGCCAGAGCCCCAAGGATTGTTTCCATGCCAAGTACAACACCCACACCTGTGCCACTGTGGTTGGAGATGACCAGTGGGGTCACTTGCAGTTAGACGCCACATCAATTTACCTGCTCATGTTGGCACAAATGACAGCCTCTGGTAATATTTACATCTAGGCATCTCTGATGCTAATTGCTGTGGTATTGCAGCACGTTGGTGTGCTAATGAATTAAGCCTCTCTGCTCCCTGAGAACCAGGGGAAGTATTATTATCCCTGGGGTACAGGTGGGGAACTGAAGTGTGGGGGGAGAATTGATTTGCCCAAGGCCATAAGGGGGTTGGTGTCAGAGCTGGGAAGTGGACAAAGATCTACTGCATTCCAGTCCTGTGCCCTGTCCATAACTGTGAACTATACTCCTGAGCCTGACAAAATTCCTCTGCTCCTGGGTTTATCGACGTGTTACCCTCCATGTGATCTACTGCTTAAAGTAAAGCCTAGAATACAGGAGGTCTGGTATCTGTCCCTGGCTTTGCTAAGGTTTATTGTGCACCCCTGGGCAACTCATGTCTCACATCTGTGCCTCAGTTTCCCCATCTATAAAGTGGAGGTGATAATGCTAACATACCTCAGAGGGTTTGGGAGGCTTCATGAATGACTGAGTGTAAAGAGCTTTGAGGTGCTCCGCTGGAAGGCACTGAAGCAGGTCTGAGTATTATCCAGCACCACCAGCTGTCTTATCGCCTGTACAGAGAAACCCAGAATCATGGCTGAGACTCTGAGCTGTGCCTCTTGGGGGAACAGCACAGAGGGCACAGCCAGGGGGGAGGGGGCAGCTTCCAGCAGTCATATGCTGTTCCTGCACTTAGGTAATTCACCCTCTGCCCCTTGAAGCGTGTTTCTGGTGTGCACAGTGCTGGGTCCCCAGAGGATGTCTTGGAGCCCTAAGTTCTCAACCCCAGCCTTACTAGCCTTGCCCTTTAGAGAAAGTATGTCTCTTGAGCAACAGTGAAACTTGCCTGACGGCTCGGCAAACCAGCTCGTGCTGGCCTAGAGGTGGCTTTGTAAGGAAGGTGGAGCAGCACTTACTTTAGGGCATGCTCCCAACACATAGTGTCCTCCTTCATAGGCTTCACAGCAGAGTGAGCTCAGCATGCAGAGCCGCTGTTCAGAGGTGGCTGGGATACACTGGTTGGTGCAGGACCTCCAAAGGCAATGCATGCAGACGAAGGGAAATCAGGAGGAACTGACAGTGTTAACAGAGAACATAGGCTCTTGAACCAACAAGTGCCCAGTCTGCAACTACTGTGTATACGCCGGTGCTCTCTGAACGCTGACCGATCAGATAACAGCACTTAGCTGTGCACTGGTTCCCTGTATCTGTATGAAGTCCCTACCACCTCTAATCTGCTGTCCTACAAGTATGGCATGTGACTGGCAGCTGCAGGCAACACAGGTTCAAATTCAGCCCTAGAGTAAGTGGATGCAACGGGACTGAAGCCTCCATAGCTGTGCCTGCTTATCCCAGGGCTAGACTTGGCTGGCAGGTCCCATAATACGGCAGTTCAGATTGGGTGGGTGCTGGGGACAGAGGAGTGTGGTTCAGATTGAGCTCAGTTGCTGCTCTGGTGGCTTTTTGGTGGTGGCTGATTTGGCCTCAGATCAGTTCCTAGGAGACAGGTGCCCAAAAGACACCAGTAGAATTGGCAGCCTCAGAATATGGACCTAGGACTGAGTGTGCCACAGAGCCCAGGTTGCCTGGGTCTGGGCTGAAGCTTGTTGGCAGGGGCAAGTGTGTCGAGGCAGCTTCTTTTGCTTCAGCCTGATATGTACCTGTTCCGGGGATGGGTGGATGGATGGAGGTATCTGGTCTCCAGAGGTCTCAAGTTGGTGCCTTCACTAGGGTGAAACTTGCTTTGTTTTTAAATGGCTCAGACTCTCCATTCTCGTCTAAGGTGGGTCTAAACACAGAAGCTGCATGGGTTAAACTAAAAGGGTGATGCTAAATAATACACTAGGTTTAGCTGCCAAGAGAGCATCCACACGGGCAGTCACACTACTTAAACCGGTGGAACTCCTTGACTTAGACTAGGCTCCGTGTGTACAAGTAACCCTCATTTGGGACTGAAATGGCATCTCAGCTGTCACCTTCTCTGTGAGGTACAGGATGCTGGGGAATGTTAGAGGAAAACAACCCCCTGCTTCACTCTCCAGTGGATGTTATTTGTAGCGCCCACAGGCTCCAGGCAGGCTCAGTGCCTGGCTTGTAGCTTCCGTGTATCTTCGTGGTGCACTCTGAACGCTGACAGATCAGATAACGGCACTTTGCTGCACACTAGTTTCCTGTATCTGTGTGAAGTTCCTGCAGGCTCTAATCTGTTGTCCTACAAGTGCAATGCATTACTGTCATCTGTGAAACATACAAACACAGGGAAAGGAGCCACTGCACCAAAATTGCTTACGGTCCATGGCCTTGAGCCTGCAAGCTACTCCACAGGGGAGGACCCACATGGAAGTCTGTGGGATTCCTCGTGCTTTTCTTGTGTGGAGTTAATTGCAGGATTGAGGTCTCTAAAGGGATGACACACAGCAAGGGGGGTGGAGGGCTGTGAAGAACACAACAAAGGCTGGGGTGGGGAAGAGATGAGTGACATGCTGATTGAATTCTTATCTAAGTGTGTGATCCGGAGGCTTTAGTGTGTATGTATTTTAATAAGATAAATGGGTAAGAGTAATGGACCTCTAACAACTGATTGGCTAGGCAGTCAGCCAACGTGTTCATAGATTTTTCTGTTTCAGGGCTTCACATTATCTACAGTCTGGATGAAGTCAATTTCATACAGAACGTTGTGTTTTACATCGAAGCAGCGTATAAAACTGCAGTGAGTAGCCCTTCCACAAATAGGCCTTGGCTTAGTAACCAGATTGTTCCTGGCTTTCCTGCATCTGTTGCTGGCTGACAAGGTGGTTTGGCCTCTGAGGGGTGTGTGTTGGGGGAGTTGGTTTGCGCTTGTGTAGGGCCATAGGCGTAGCATGAAAAACTTACTGGTCTCTTCCTAGCCCTGGTGTGACATGCCTGTGCTGCTACAATGAAGATCTGCTTTCCGGCCAATGCATGAAACTTACTGCTGGGGCTGGTCAAACAGCAAAAGGAAATGTATTGAGTAGCTCTTTGCTGTCACAGCAGCACTGGGGAGCTGAGCCTCTCCATGCCAGGGCATTGGGGGTGGAAGAGCTGTTGTCTGTGGGTGTCAGGGACATTAGCGCCAGAGGAACCTTTCAGCTGCCAGTGGCTCTGTGCAGGGATGTTGTCCTCCACTCCCTCCTTCTGATCCTGCTTAAAGCATGACCCATGTGAGCCAAAGGAGAATCACTGTTGGTGTGATAGCTCCTGTGACACAGCAGGGGAGTTCTCGTCACACCCATTAAAGGGAAGTGATTTATTCTGAAATGTTTTCTACTTAAACTTTTGTGCTAGCAGCAATGAAACCCCTGATATTACTTCAAAGAACAATGGCTGTTAGGATACAGTCAGATTTTCCTTTCAAGCATCCTGCATGGAAAGTAAGCCCAACCCTGAGTGTCTGCCCCCTTGAGCCTTCACTAATGTAACCCAAATGCACATTCCTATCCGCCAGCTATTTTTGAACATGCATTTTGCCTGTTACTCTGGGACGCTTACTAGCACTCAAGTGATCACATAATTTTTCTTTAAAGTTCATACATTTTGTCAGCATCAGTTGAGAATTTTGAAGTGTTTTTCACGCATTTTTGGCTGGAGGGTGAAATGATTGAAATGGAAGCCTTCCATGGCCCAATGGCTATGGGCACTGGAGTGTGAGTCAGGAGTCCAGAGTCCTATGTCTGGTTCTACTGCCGGTATTACTGAATGACTTTGGGCATGTCGCTGTTTTTCTGTGGCTTGGTTTCCCCGCCTGTAAAAAGGATTGTTATGTGGATCCATCAATCTGAGATCTATAGGAAAAGTCCCAGGTAAGTGCTTGTTTCAGATTTAGGATGCGGTCACTTTAAAAAGAATAAAATCTGGCAGTCTTCTAATTCCCATAGAACTGAGCTTTAATTGTCGTCCCTCCCGAGGGTGGCTGCTCCAGCCAGCACAGCAACCTCAAGCCATGTGGTTTTTTCTTTTTTCCGGAGGGCGCGGGTGGTTTTTTTTTTTTTTTTAAATGGACAAAATTCATATTTGAACAAGACCAAATACTGAAAGCAAGACTTGAGACCAGCTGCCTGTCCCTGTTAGAGGAAGGATGGCCTAGTGATTAGGCATTAGCCTAGGACTTGGGAGGCCCAGGTTCAATTCCCTGCTCTGTCACAGACTCCCTGTTTGGCCTTAGTTACTGTCCTGGCCTCAGCTCCATCTGTACAATGAGGTAACAGCTATGCCCTGACTCCCAGGGGGTGTGAGGATAAAATCTTTAAAGACGAAGCGCTTTGAGATCTAGTGATGAAAATTAGTATGTAAGAGCTAGGGACTATTATAAAGGTGTTTTTAGGTGTCTGGGACCCTGCAGAATTCTCTCTGCCTTGTGTGACTGTGTTATACAGAGATTTATTACTTCCATCCTATTTAGTGTGGACCAAGTGGATTTCTTTCTCCTCTCAAGCTGGTCCGTGACTCCGCCGTGTGAATTGCCAGGGCATTCCCTTGTTCAGTGACTCCCTGATGTGATCTAGATGCTGACTGTGCTGTGTCACTGCTGTTTCACCTGCTGCACTGATGTGATGATGTTGATTCATGGCAGGACTTCGGGATATGGGAACGTGGAGACAAGACGAACCAAGGAATCACGGAGCTGAACGTGAGCTCAATCGGCATGGCTAAGGTAAGCCTGGAGAAAGTGCTGGGGGGACATCTGGTGACCTTCAGCAGTGCGTCACCCAAGATGGATTTTGGAGGAGGATGAAATAAAACTCCTTCCAGGGTACATTGACAAGCTATGCTCTCTAGCCTGTCTGATGCAACTACTCATTGCTTGTGAGAGAGGAGCATAAAACACCCACCAGTAGCAGCACCCAAGTTGTTAGCCAGGCTTGGCAGCTGCTAAATAGCAGCTATTCATGAGAACCCGAGTCTCAAGAAAGAGTTAAGCCCATCTCCATTTGGTGAGTGTAAGGTGAGATATGGATCTTTCCCTAGGTTATCGTAGCCTATTTTTCTTTGCAAATTTGTCAGGCCAAGATCACTAGATTGGCAAGGGGAGGTCCTTTGTACAGTAGGTTAGTTTCATAGACAGAAAGCACCTATATGCCTGCTTGTATAGACAGAGGAGTCTCTGTTGTAGCCCATCAGTCTCACGGAAGGGTCTGCACTAGAACCTCTTCATGCTTGGCCAGAGTTTCTTCTCCTTGTATTATTTTGGTTAATTCATCTTAAATTTTTCCCCAGATGTTTTAAAGGGGAAAGGGTTTCCAAGATTTGATCTCTCTTTGGCGTGGGGCTGGTGGGCTCCTTTGTTTGCAATAGTGGCGATAGCATATGTGCTCTGTAGCCTTAGACTGCCAAGCCTGGGGGCAGGACAGCCCAGCAGGTTCTACTCCTGCAGTGGAATTTTTCTGTGTGGCCTAGAGCAAGCTGTTGTCTTTCTGTGCCTCAGTTTCCCCATCTGCAAAATGGGGTTTGAATGTTTTGTAAAGCTGCCTATTCAAGGGCACCCTGACTGCAGTTGGGTGATACACTAGCCTACAAAGTGTTCAACTGCTGTAAAATTGTTCTTTAAAGTCGAGTGGTGGAGCCCCTAGCTTTCTGGCCATTGTTATTTCAAAATGCCCTCTGCTATTGGAGTCTGTCTCCTGGGTGAGACCCTAAGAGAGAGGGCCTGAGGTAATGGGGGCAGGAGGGTGCAGGGACGGAGTTCCACAGTCCAAACCCAGATCCAGCCCCTGGCTCTCCTGTGGTCACCTCTCAAATCTTGTCTTTATGTTCCTTACGCTGGTAGAGGCTGGGAGGAATGCTCGGGTTTCAGGATCTGTAGCTGTCATACTAGAGCTACTGTGTGGTGCTGCTGCATCAGCAGCTGTCTTCACGTGTTCTGTTCTCTGCCTGCCTTCCTCCCCCTATCCCTGGTCACAGGCAGCCCTCGAAGCCCTGGATGAACTCGATCTCTTTGGTGCCAAAGGAGGCCCTCAGTCAGTGATCCATGTCCTGACGGATGAGGTGCAGCATTGCCAGGTACGAATGCTGCTCTGACGGTCCAGCAAGCAGTGCTTCCTCCCGCCAGTCCAGCAGCCTGGAGTCTTGCTGCTGCTCTACAGAGAGGAAGAGCTGTCTGACTTCTTTACTCCTCCGGGTTTAGAGAGGCTTGATTCCAGACCGTGCTGCTCTTGTCTCGGGTCTGGTCTACACTGTGGGTGGGGATCAATCTAAGTTACGCAACTTCAGCTACGTGAATAACATAGCTGAAGTCAACGTACTTAGATCTACGCACTGCAGTGTGTGTTTACTGCGGTGAGTTGACTGCTGCCACTCCTCCATCAACTCCGCCTGCGCCTCTCACTCTGGTGGAGTACTGGAGTCGACGGGAGAGCGCTCGGCGGTTGATTTATTACGTCTAGACTAGATGCGATAAATTGACACCCCCTCCCATGTGTGCCGCGTCCCCTCCCCCTCTCCCCCCAATCGATTGCTGCCTGTCGATCCAGTGGGTAATGTAGACAAGCCCTCTGCTGCCTGCAGTTGATTGATTTGAGAGGGAGATGTCTTAGGGCACAGCCCTGCACTGGCAGGGGTGGAGTGGATGATCTAATAGGTCTCTCATTCCAGTGATTCATCTCCATCCTGTAGGATCCCTCCAACTTGGTGCTCTGCTGAGGCAGAATATTGATGCTGTAGGAAGCAGTAGCTCATGGCATGTGGCTCCCCCAGGAGTGCTGGGGGGCGGGGGGAAGGACCATACTCCCACTTTTATAAATCAAGTTGGCAGGGGTGCAACAAGGGGGAACCCAGTCCTCCCCTTGGCTCTTGTCTGGAGATGAGTGGCATAATGGTAGATCCCCTTCTCTGCAAGCATGACAGATGGGCTGCCAGGCCAAAGATGAGTGGTTGGTGTAGCAGCCTGGCTCACGTGGTCACCACACCAATCAAATCTTGGCCCATTTTGGTTGCTTCTCCCCACCCCTACACACTGTTGCAGTCCTTCCAGCACCATTGGGCTCCCCCAGGTCACAGCCCTTTATAAATTAGAGATGGTTCCAGTCCAAGCACCCTGAACTCTCTTAAAGTTTGGATCTGAGCCTCCTGGCCCAGGCCTGTCTCTAGAATAACCCTAGCTCTTCCCTCTGCCCAGAACTGCCCTGCAATTCCCATGGCACACTCCACTGCCATAACTGTGCTTTCCCTTGGTAATGCTGTGGCCTGTGGAAGCACTGACCCCATTGCCTCGGCGCTATTAAATGTGTAGACCAGTGTTTGGCATTGGAGTTTCTCCTTCTTCCTAGTCTATTCTCCATTCCATGCTGCCAAGGGCTTCGACTTCCAAGGAGATTGATGCCAGCCTCCTCTCAGTCATCTCGTACCCCGCCTTTGCCGTGGAGGACAGTGAGCTGGTGGAGATAACGAAGCAAGAAATCGTTACAAAGCTGCAGGTAAGCATCTCTCTAGGCTGTTCTTGGCCCTTTCAAGGAGAGCTGTCCAGGACTGCAGGCCCTACTAATCTTCAGTGGCGCAGGGAATAGCCGCTAGGGCTCTACCCCCAACAGAGAAATCACAGAGAAACAAACACCTTTGTCAAGGCTGAGTCCCTACTCTGGCACTTCGAGTGCAGAAGGTGGGGGCCCGCAAGGATTTTAAAAATTAATACTTGCCGCTCCAGACTTGTATTAAACTCCCAAGGTTACAGCTTTTCTCCGACCTTGGCTTGGTAAACGCTGCCACCACCCAATAGCATACCCCTTGGAACCCAGGAAGGCACACTTGGGAGCTCATTTCTGTGGGATAACTTCAAGCCCTTTCACCTCCCCTCCGGGGAAGAGCTGAGAAGGAAAACAAAGGAAATTAGCTGTTCCCCCCCCCCCCCCCCCCCCCCAAGCTAATTAAACAACATGCACAAACCTCTTAGGGACACACAAATCTAATCTTGTTCTTAAAAAAGCTAAATTTTATTAAACCCGAAAGGAAAGGAAATACATTTGGAACTTAGGCTTTTTGCTAGATCTTAAAAGAAACAATTACAAAAATTAAGCATCAAGATAGCTCTCCCGAGGTTCAGCTTAAAGGTTACAAGCAAAACAATAGCATCTGGGGTTAGCACAGAGGAGTTCACAAGCCAATAAGAAATAACCCTAATCGCATCTTTCTAGACATTCCCTAATTTACTTACTTATCTGAGGCTTCAGATAAGTAGGTTTGAGGTATGAATTGATGATCTATGATCATACCTGGCTTAAAGCTGCTTACAGCATTGCTGCTTTGTGTGTTGTGGTTCTCTGGGAGAGAGCCAAGTTTTTTCCCAATTTTAAAAAGTTCTAGCGGCTCCCATTGGTTCTTTTGGTCAGGTGCCCACTCCTTTTCCTTTACCTGGGGGATTTTTGTTAACCCTGTACAAGTAAAGCAAGCAGAAAACAGCCACCAAGAGGGACTTTATAGCTGGCTGGCTGGCTGCCCATAAAAGGGAGCTACCCTGCTCTTCATTTATCACAACCTCCCTGAGACCTATCCCTTCTCCTAGGACCTACAGGTCGTTGAGCTCTGCTACTGTAGCCTGGCCAGCTAGCCAATGGAGGTGGGGTAAGGGAAGTAATCCCAGTCCCATACTGACACACAAACCGAGGTGAGCCACCTTGGCTGGTGCACAGCTCAGGAAAGAGGACAATGAAAGTGGGGGTGGGATAGGTGAGAAGGAGGGCCTGGAAGCCATCGTGGGCTGTATGTTGGGCATAACGCTCTGCTATACAGGAACTCCTCACTTAAAGTCCTCCCGGTTAACGTTGTTTTGTTATGTTGCTGATCAATTATGGAACATGCTCGTTTAAAGTTGTGCAATGCTCCCTTATAATGTGGTTTGGCAGCCGCCTGCTTTGTCCACTGCTTGCAGGAAGAGCAGCCTGTTGCAGTGAGCTGGTGGGGGCTTGGAACCAGGGAGGACCAACAGCCCCCGTATCAGCACCCCGCTCCCCTAAGTTCCCTGTGCGGAAGCTGCCCAGCAGGCTATCAATTGACTGCAATTCAGCTGTCCCTCCCCTCACTGCCATGTGCTGCTCCTGCCCTCTGCCTTGGAGCTGCTCCTGGGAGCCTCCTGCTGGCTGTGGAGGAGGTGCAGGGGAAAGAAGGGTGCTAATGTCAGGGTGTCCTCCTCCCCCCCCACTCCTGCCCACCCGTTTACCCCATCTCCATACAGTGGGGAGGGAGGGACAGATGGACATGACAGGGCTCAGGACAAAGGGAGCTTGCTGGCAGCAGCTGCTGTCTCAACTTGCTGATCTACTTAAAAGGGCAGTGTACTTTAGAGTGGCGTCAGCATACTTAAAGGGGCAATGCACGCTCTCTCTCACACATAGGGTGTGTGTCTCTGTCTCTCTCTGCCATGCTGTCTCCCCTCTCTCCATTCCTGCTGCCTTGCAGAGTGTGAGGCTACATTGTTGTTCATGTGTTAATCCTTGAGGGCTCAGCCAAGTGCTGGTTCATCATTTAGCAGTAAGGCATTTCTTGGGAAATATTCCACCCTCTGACTATGCCACCTCAACTAAGCTTCACAATCATCATTGCTGTGTACAGTATTAAATTGTTTAAAACTTATACTCTGTGTGTGTGTGTGTGTGTGTGTGTGTGTAATTTTTTAATTATTTTTATATAAAATAAATATAATACAATATAATTTTTTTTATATATAAGTCTTTTCTCTGGCAAAAAAAAAATTAGGTCTGGAACCTAACACTCCCCTCCCCCATTTACATTAATTCATATGCGGGAAATTGGATTCGTTTAACATCGTTTCGCTTAAAGTAGCATTTTTCAGGAACATAACTCCTCGCTTAAAGTTGTAGTTACTGTAACTGCATTGTGTCCAGCAGCAAGGAACAGATCCCTGTCCCAAAGTGAATTCCCCTTTCTCTTCCAGGGGCGTTACGGCTGCTGCCGGTTTCTCAGAGATGGGTACAGGACCCCTAGAGAGGTGTGTATTGTGGGGTTTGCTGGCTGGATTTTCCTTTGCTTTGCACCAGGCAGCTGCCTGATGTGGGGGTGGGGGTGTCTTGAGTTCCTTTTACTACATTTAAAGCATCAGCCCTGAGATGGTTTAGGTTAATGGAAGTCCATCTAAGGCTGTCTGGCACAGGAGGGGAAGATGGAGGGGCAATTTAATTCAGGAATCACTAAAGCTTCCACATAGTAGCACAGCCAAGAGAGCCAGTGTGCAGTGGCCAATGGAGTAGCAGTGTTGGGTCACAGAGGGAACCCTGGCGGCTGAGGGCTATGGAAGGAGAGGAGGAGTGTTGGCTTTTCAGTGCTGTTAGGGGATGATATCTATCCACCCTGGTGCTGGGGCCTGCTGTGGGGATGGGGTATATTTTCTGGGTTAATGCCTCCAGGGGAGGCAGAGGGGACCTGCCATCTCTTGCAGGAGTCCTGCATAGTCAGGGCCTTCGGCCCCCTCCTACTGCTCCGCTCTGCTTGGACAAGATTAGCAGCACTTAGACAGCAGATGGGCCTCCTGGGAGAAGTCAGCGACCAACACTGAGCTCCATACTGATCTGCGTCTGGGAAGACCCATATTGCCCCTGGAAATATGACCTTGCAGGAGGGGGAGAGTTGCTTGGGAGGAGCCCATTTCCTTCTCTCCCTCCCTAACACCCCCATTCTGCCATCACACAACTGAATGCTTGTGAAAGATGGAACCCTGCTCCTCACCATCCTCCTCACCCTGATGGTGCCATTTGTGTAACACATGCTGGGGGTAAATTATGTACAACTCTGCTATACTCCCCGTTCCTGCACCTCAGCTTAACTTTGCTGAAGCCAGGCCAGAGATGGCTTTTTCTGGGCCTTGTGGGAACACATTATACAGAGTGAGGCTCACAGCTATTGCATGCAAAACCTAGAGCTTTGGTGTTTATGACAGCTACCAGTCAGCTGCGAGGAGAGGGAATCCTATGGTTTCTAAGTAAACATTTAATACACACCTTGTAAATAGTATTTGAATACTTACACATTTTAAACAGAAGCTATTGGTTAGTAAATCTACTGGTGTTCCTTGCACTGACTTTCACCACTCTGCTGCTGTTATGTATATTTCAGGGTGAGCTCTACACTTTTTAGCAGGCACGTTTCCTACTGATCTTCTTTCAGAGCTGAGTTCTCATTCTTTATAGCATAGCCATAAAATGTAGCCTGTGTCACGTGGATTCTTCCCAGCTTGAAAAGAAAGTGCTTCAGAGCTCTGTCAGCAAATAGCAGTCTGGGGATCCTTCCAGCTAGCAGCATTCCAGTCCTTGGGTTAATAATGATGTAAGCTGTAGTAATTGCTATATAATAGCAGTTTATATGGCTATGTATGACCTAGGTGTTGACTGGTCTCAGTTTCTGGTGAGATAGGAAAGCTGTAGCCTGTATCCAAAATTATATAGGTGTTGAGATCAGCACCTAAAATAAGCACCCCCTGAACTTCCCTGGGGCTCTCACTCTGGGGGGCACTTTTTCCACAGAAGCCCAGCTAAATCAGATGGAAAATTTACAAACCCTCCTCTCACTGTGCCTGGATCACTTATATTTCTAACATGCCCTGAAGTCTGTTGGGCATCAATCTCAGATGGTGAATGTGTGGGGCTGTAAGACTCCTTGCCCTTAATGGAAACTTTCCATTTAGCATCACAAACTGCTACTGAGCATGTCCAGTAATTGCCACATCTGACTCTCTGGCTTTCCTAGCTGCCCTTCCTTTCTCTGGTCATGTGCAGATGCAGGATTCAACCATAGATCCATGTCTTCTCCCTCTCTCTCTCCTCTCTCTCTTTCTCTCTCAAATCATATGCTGCTCTAGAAACCTGGGTTATACAGTCATGCATGATGGGCAGCTACCCCCTGCCTTTGGATGGAGTTCCCAGGGCTGGAGCAGTTCATGGCCAGATGGTCACCATGTGAGCACCCAGCTGCTGAAGGAGTCAGGAGAGGATGACTCAGAAGGGAGAGAGGGACTGGGTCACTGGGCCGGAACAAGCCTCCAGCTGTAGCTTTGCATGACTTGACCTAACTATCTCTGCACAGGACCCAAATCGCCTCTATTACGAGCCTGCTGAGCTGAAGCTCTTTGAGAACATTGAGTGCGAGTGGCCTTTGTTCTGGACCTACTTCATTATCGACGGGATCTTCAGCGGCAATGTAGAGCAGGTAAGGTGTGGGTTGGAGGGTGCACCTGGGTTGGGGAGGGGAGTCTGGCTTTAAGGGGAAAAATAAGCTGATTGCTTGCTTGTTAAACACAGTCCCCTGGGGTGCCCTTGTCAGTCTCTGTCTCCTCCACTCCAGGCACACCCTGCTTTGCTATCTCAGAACTGCTGAGCTGTCTTTGTGTTGGTTATTACTGTAGTGCCGAGGAGCCCAGTCATGGGCCAGGCCCCCCATTATGCTAGGCCCTGTACAAACCGAACAGAAAGACAGCCCCTGCTCACAGTGGTTTACAAGGGAATAAACACTCTGAACTGCTGGCATGGCAGGTGGGGGAGTGGGGCCAGGCTCTGTGCTCTCCTGTGTGCATAGAGTGAGCACATGGGTGCTGCCTGTTGCTATTTAACGCTTATATGCACATTTCTAATCCCAGCTGATCTGGTGTGGGGTAGGGGAGGGGTCTGGGGCTAAGTTCCCTGTAAGCCAGGTGGCCGTGCAGCAGGCTATTAAGCGCTGCATAGGTGCTCAGGGAACCCACCTGGCTGGGACCTGCTGCAGCCAGGGGAGGGGCACCCCAGCCCCGGGGGAGAGGAGGAGGGGCACGTGCTGTGAGGAGTTCGTTCTCTCTCTTCTCTTCCCCCCCCCCCCCTTGTAGCCCTGGGGCAGCCTGCATCTCATCCCAGAGCCCACATCCCCAGTCCTGAGCCCCTCATTCCAGTCCCCACCCCAGAGCCCGCACCCTCAACCGTAGCCCTCGCACCCCTGTACCCCCAACCCTCCGCCTCAGCTGTGAGCCCCTTCCGACACACTGAACCCCTCGGCCCCACCCTGCCACATTAATTTTATGTGCACCAATATGGAGGTGATGTGTCATACATCACCTCCGTATTGGTGCATATAACAAAATTCATTCTGCACATACATGGGGAAAAATTATAGGGAGCACTAGTCTGGGGGCTCTGCCCTTGGGGATGCTGTGTTGGGAGCTGATTCCCTGTGGTGCTTCCCCCTCAGGTCCAGGAGTACAGGGAGGCCCTTGAAGGCGTGCTCATCAAGGGGAAGAATGGAGTTTGCATGGTACCGGAGCTGTACAGTGTCCCTCCCAATAAGGTGAGTGTAGCAGGGCAGCCTCCATCTTGAGCACTTCCCTAACGGCAGGCTGTGGCATGACACACCTGCCTCCATTTCCCCTTTGCAGTCATGTGAAGAGCCACAGTCTGCAGATCCCTCATTGTAAAAGGCAGCTTCTCCCCAAACACGGTCACAGCACAGCAGCTCTTCAATACCATGCCGAGATCGTCCACCTGAGTCATTAACTGCTCGGTCCCAAGACTATTCCCCTGTCCTGGGGACCCACTCTCCAGGCCTCCACCTGAGAGTTCCCAGACCTGCTGCTCTCCCATGAGCCATGAAGCCTTGCTCTCCCTTGAAGCCTTGGGGCTCAGCCTTTTCCTGTAGCCCCAAGTCAGGTTTCCTGTGAGAGGGGTTCCACTGCCCCAGGGCTTCTCACCGGGGTGCCCCACTCTGCTCAGGGGAACCTCCCTCAAGGGCCAACCCCTTGCTGCTGGGCTCCTCCCATTCAGGTCTTCTGCCAAAAGGCGCCCTGCAGTGTAAGTCTCCTAGGCCTCCCCATCTGTGAGGCCATCTCTGCTCCTGGGATCCACCCTCCTGAATTAACCCCTTGCTTCTGGGCCCAGCTTGCACTGACCAAGCTGGCTCTGCCACAAGCTCTCTGGCCCCCTGGTACAGTCCCCCAGCTCTAGGCAGTGGTCCTGACAGTTTTCTTCCGGCGGGTATCCTGCAGCTCTTTCCCTCAGGCAACTCCCTATTCCTTCTGCCAGTTGCCTGGCTTCAGGTATCTCCGACTTGCCCAGTCTTGTTTTTATTTTGCTCTGTGTATGTGGCCAAGGTGCCTTCTGTTAAGCCCCGTTGGGCATCAGCTGCCCTGTCACAGTCACTGGGCCCTGCTCCCTCTTAAATGAGCCAGTGGCTAACGGGGGGGCTGCACCTTATGCCCAGGGCCCAGGCTCTTGCTTAAAACATTAGAGGTAGCAGGAATCAAAAGGGATCCAATCTCCCTTCCCCGCCTCATGCTCTTGCTGCCACCCCATAGATGCTCCCTCTACCAGTGCCCAAAGTGGGGAGGGCGGTTGATGACAGCTGTTACCCAAGACACCTGTGCATCGCTGTCCCCCTGCCTGGCCAGGGGCAATGTGGGGTGAAGCTGGGCACCTCTGCTGTAGGCTCAGAACAGCTGTGGTTGATTCCTGCAGGAATCCACCTGCTGTCTTTCCCCTCCCCCTTCTGCATGGGCTGGGTGGGGTGAGCGTGGCTCGCTCAGTCTCGTCTCCAGCGTGCTCTGTTCCTGGTCAGGGCTAAGACTGGGCAGAGGCTGGAGGTTGCTGTGACCCCTGCCCTGTGGGTTGAGGGCATGCTAGTTCTCTGGGTTAATGCTGCCCCCTTTCCAACCAGTGTGTGAGGCACTTGAGGGGGAGGGGCTGTGTGCTCCCTTCCATCTGAGGTCAAAACAGCTGGCTCCAACACCCCTCAATCCCAGGTCTGCTCTCCTCAGGATGGAGTGGGTACATCTGCGCTGCAGCTGAGCATGAATCTGTCGGCCTGGCCTGGCAGGCTCGCCCCCAGCTGCAGTGTGGACGCAGCTAGCATGTCCAGCTGGGAAGCACAACTCCTTCCACCTCCATGCCCTTCAGCTCATTGCAGCGCTCACGGTATGCACGCCACTAGTTCCAAGGGACGTCGCTTGCTGCTGAGACACCTGCCCTGCCAGGCAGTGCTTTAGCAGGGTGCTAAGCTCTGCTGGCTGCCCTTTGCCCCCCTCTGACAGTCTCTAGGTCTGGCTGCCTGACCCTGATGAACCAAATGTCTGAAAGCAGCCAGGGAGGAAGGGGCATGCAGGGGACAGCTATGATCTCCTGGGGGTGGGTACTTTAAAATATGTCAATTGCCTTTAAAGTCAGCATCCAGCTGCCAAGAGTGAGAAGATGCCACAGCCACACTGGGGATCCTCTGGTAGCCTAAGAACTCTGCTGAGCTAAACCAGGAAGATCCATAGGAATGTTGCTACAATGTTGTGTAGAAACTCTAGCTGCTTCCAAGAGATTTGCATTGGGAGGCCCTGAATGTGTGGTATTGGCCTCCCCTAGTTGACTGGGAGGGGGTGAGGGGTCTCCCATCAGAGCATGGGAGGGGAAGCTTGCCTGGGTAATACCCCACCCCGATAGGAGAGGGCCCTCCGGGTATGTGATGGCAGTACTGAAAACGTTCCCTGCTGGGTGGTGGGTTGGTGCCCTGCAACATCTCCTAGGCTGTAGGCACTGTCGGTTGCCTGATCTCTCACTTTTTTTTTTTTTTCTTCTTCCTTCCAGGTGGATGAGGAGTATATGAATCCCCACACTGTCGACCGGGTCCCTATGGGCAAGCTGCCCCACATGTGGGGCCAGTCTCTCTACATCCTGGGGTGCCTGATGGCAGAGGTGAGATCACACCTGTCACTCTGGGCTGCCGGTTAGTCCAAGCTTAGCAGCTCTGATCTCTGAGGTATTTGTCTGCTCAGGAGTCAGTCTTCGTTCCTGTTGCATTAAACATTGAGGTGCTGAGCACTCTTGCCTCCATCATGGTCAGTGGGAGCTGGGAGAGCTTAGCACCAGGCCCGGCAGATCTTTAAATTTGCGAGAACTGCCCATAACTTCATGGAATCTGTGGCTTTTCCTTGTAGCGCCCTACTCCTAGGCTCTCTCTGCATCTGCCTCTGAGTAGCACTTGCCCACAAACACATGGGGCTGTTCTGTTGCCCACTTGCTTGCATTCTACCCAAGGCCTTTTTTTCATCTTTTCTTTTTCTGGTCACTGCACTCTGCCTGCGCCGCTTGCTGTCTGGTGCATTGGGTGAGCAGCCTTTTCTGAAATATGCTCATATGAGTGTCTGGAGGCTTGTCTAAGTAACATCATCCACCACACCATCCCCTCTGCAGTAAAACATCCCTCCACCAGGATAGCAAAATCTCCTGTCAGCATCCAGAGGCCGCTATTCAGCACAGCAGTGCTCTGTACTATGACCACTGCAGTTCATGGCTACTTCACTCATCTTCCAGGCCTGCTTTTATTACACTGTCTGGGTGAGCTCTCCTCCTGCTTCTTATGCTGCTAGCTTCCTCTGCACTGTTGTCTTCTACTTTTGGAAGAGCTGAGACCTGGAGAAGGTGGGATTAAAGCATTAAATATTCTTTCTGGCCAGAGTGTGTTCATTACTGAGTCCCTCCGAGGAAGCAAAATAACTCTGGGTGAAGAAGGATCTGCCACTCCTGTCTCCGAATGGGCTCATCCATGAGTACCAGAAAGGGGAAGAGGTTTTTCCAAACTATCTTTTTCCAGTAGGCTTTAGAAGCCCATTGTAATGCTGATCGACTGAACCTGACAGATGGGGGTTCCCCACTTAATCCAGTCCTCAATGTGTGATTTGTGTTACTGATGTGTTCTGCTGCTAGGGTAATGTTAGCAGGGGTCTCTGTAAGCAGCTTGTCTTCTCTGTGGGGGCAATTCCTCTCTCTCTGGTTATTTCTTCACACAGGGATTTCTGGCTCCAGGTGAAATTGATCCCCTGAATCGCAGGTTTGCTACTGTCCCGAAGCCAGATGTGGTAGTCCAAGGTGAGCATGGCAGTCTGATGTTACAGGTTGCTGTAGGTATGCTACAGAAGAGGGGATGGAAACAGTCTCCAGCTGCAAATGCAGTATGGCTTTCTGCCCACCAGCAGGGCTGGCAGCTTCACCGCACTGGATCTGGTAACTGACTTGATTTGGCAGATGTTTATTTGTGTCTGGTAATGGGTGGTGCAGCTGGTCGTCCTTTCAGGAGGTTGAAAGCCTTCATACAGGTGGTGAGCGGTGCCATGAGGTGACGGCAAAAGTAACGTTTCCCCCTTACAGTTTCTCTGATCCTGTGAGATCACTCAAGCTAAGCAGGGTCCATTCAGATCAATACTTTATTGGAAGACCTCTCAGGTGTCGGTGTATCTGTTGTGGTGACTCTCCCCTCTGAGTCAGTGCTGAGCCAATGCCCCAGCCTGGTTTGCTGCTTGAGATGCTGTTCTTTTGGATGGCACTCTGAGAGTGAAGGGGCCGGGACTCTGATTTAAAGATTCCTTGTCTCCCTTCAGTTAAACAGCTGCTATGTTGTTCCACAGAGGTGGCTACATTTCAGCAGTGGCTGAAGTGACATGGGAGCTATATAAAGGAATCTGTTTAAGTATGTAAAGCTCTTAAGGGTCCTTCAGGATAGAAGGTGCTGTAGAAATTAAGTGCTCCCTTTAAGCCATGACCTCATGCCAGTGCCGTTGCTGACTCATATACTGATGAGTCTTGCTCTCACCTCTGTCACCTGCTAACCTGGACCTCTTGTCCAGTCCACTGGGCAATGAAAGCTTCCACATGGCAATTGTTGCTGCCAGAGGGATGGCTCTCAGACCCCCACCCCTCGTGGCAGAGGGCCCAGCTTGTCCTCTAGGGTGGCAGATTAGCTGAATGGGTGCTGATGCTAACGATGGGGGAACCCAAGCAGTCATTGCCAAGCAACTTGCATCCAGTCTCTGAGCAACCTCCACTGCCCAATGGCCATTCCCCTTTTTTTGAAGTTCCTGGCCCGAGATCTCCAGCTGCTGATACTACCCTCTCCACCCTCGCCCAGTGTGCATCCTAGCCGAGACAGACGGCATCAAGGCCATTCTGAAGAAGCAGGGCATCGAGGTGGAGACGGTGGCTGACGTGTACCCCATCAGAGTGCAGCCGGCCCGGATCCTCAGCCACATCTATGCCAGACTGGGTGAGTGGCCGGAGCTTTGCCAAGGCACCTGGGTCGGGGTGATAGAATATCTGGATGGGACAGGGAGAGGCAGCTTGGGAAACAACTCGATCCTCCCTGTGTCTGACTTTCCAATGTACTCTAATGGACAGTGGAGCAGTGGGTCTTGTGACACTGCCACGGCTGAAACACTGTCAGCTCCCACCCTCATTTCTTGTTGGAGAATGTCCTGAGGCTGCCAGTAACCCTTTCCTGACTGAACACAGGTGTGTGTTTTCTCAAACCGTGCCTGCACACCTTTTAACCCCACTTCTTTAGCAGGCAAAGGACTCTTGGGAGAACTCCCCACCCCGTTTCACCACCCATTCCTCAGAATCCCTCTTTCAACGTCAGTCTCCAACCTGCTGACTGTAAGCCCAGGCTGCAATCAATATGGCCATGTTGGTCAAGCTCACTTCCAAATCTAGATCTTGTTATAACAAGCTTCAGCAGAGCCGGAGATCGATGTGAGGTTTTTAACGAGAGGAAAACCATTTCCATCTCCAGTGCAGAGCCTGCAGCCCAGGTGATGGGCTCCTGCACGCGGACCTCCAACTGGCTCCATACCCTCCGACTGTCCTGGCAGCTTTCATGGGGCGAAAATCTGAAAAGGGGCATGGAGGGTGAAAGGTCAATTGGAGTCTGAACGCCCTTGCCATCTAGATAAGGCAGTGGTTCCCAACCAGAGGTATGTGTACCCTTGGGGATACGCAGAGCTCTGCCAGGAGGAACATAAACTCCTCTAGCTATTTGTCTAGTTTTACAACAGGCTACAGAAAAAAGCACTAGTGAAGTCAGTACAAACTAACATTTAATAAGACAATGACTTGTTTATGCTGTTTTATATAGTTTACACTAAAATGTAAGTACAATATTTATATTCTGATTGATTTATTTTATTATTACATGGTAAAAATGGGAGTCAACAGTTTGTCAGTCACACCATGCTGAGACAGTTTTGTGTATTAGGTCTGATTTTTGTAAGCAAGTAGTTTTTAAGTGACATGAAACTTGGGGTACGTAAGACAGACTCCTGAAAAGGGTACAGTCATCTGGAAAGGTTGAGACCCACTGAGATAAGGGAACACTTCAAAAAGACAGGAGCCCTATTGTCATTCCAAGCCCTTGACCTGTCCTCTCTCCTTAAGGCCAGTTGAATTCAGGCGAGGGAAGTCTGAATTAATGCTGACAGTCCTTCCCTCCCTCCCTCCCGCAACAAGCAAGCACGGAAACCTCTGTCACTCTTCAGCAGTCCCCTCTTGTGTTGCTTGCTTGATCTCTAAAAGGGAGCTGTTTTGCACCAGATGCTGAGTGTTGTCAAGGGATGGCCTGGGGACGGGAGACCTCTAAGTCCTATCCCAACCCCTGCTTTGTGTAGCTCCAGCCAGTGCTGCCCCTGAAAGCTGTGTGGAGCACGTTGCTAGCACAGCCTTCAGCTTCCTGGAAATCTGCCTGTGATGGGTTCGGTCATAGAGACCCCCTTGGGATTGTCACCTGATGTGCTGAAATTACCTCTGAGCCCATTTTCCCTGCCATTTTGGGACTTCCAGAACCCTGTCTTGTTGAGCCATGCCCCCAAAGCTACAGACTAAACTGAGAACAGCTCAGCAGGTTACTTATCTCCAGCACCCAGACACTTAGTTCCCAATGGGATCCAAACCCCAAATAAATCCATTTTACTCTGTATAGAGCTTATACAGGGTAAACTCATAAATTGTCTGCCCTCTATAACACTGATAGAGAGAGGTGCACAGCTGGTTGCTCCCCCAGATATTAATCACTTACTCTGGGTTTATTAATAAAAAAGTGATTTTATTAAATATAAAAAGTAGGATTTAAGTGGTTTCAAGTAATAGAACAAAGTAAGTCACCAAGCAAAAACATGCAAGTCTAAGCCTAATACTTTAAGAATCTGTTTACAGGTAATATCTCACCCTCAGAGATGTTCCAATAAGCTTCTTTCACAGACTAGACTCCTTCCTAGTCTGGGCCCAATCCTTTCCCCGGTACAGTCCTTGTTACTTCCAGCAGACATCTCCTGTGGTAAGCAGGGGTTTTCTCATGACAGGCAGCGTCTTTTGTCCTGTCCTGTCCTGCTCTGCTCTGCTCTGCTCTTCTCTTCTCTCCTCTTCCCCCCCCCCGGGCCCCCCAAGTTTTGGCACAAGGCAGGAATCTTTTGTCTCTGCTTTGTCCCCACCCCTGCATCATCAATGAAAAAGTACAAGGATTAAGATGGATTCCAGTATCATGTGACATGGTCACATGTCACTGTAAGACCCCCAAGTCTCCATTCTTCCTGGGTTGGCCCACATATTATACAGGAAGGCATGCAGGTAAATAAACCATTTACAACCAATTGTCCTAGTCAGTGGGAGCCATCAAGATTCTAAACCACCATTAATGGGCCACACTTTGCATGATTACAAAAGGACCTCCAGAGTTATACTCATATTTCTCAAAAAGAAAAGGAGTACTTGTGGCACCTTAGAGACTAACCAATTTATTTGAGCATGAGCTTTCGTGAGCTACAGCTCACTTCATCGGATGCATACCGTGGAAACTGCAGCAGACTTTATATATACACAGAGAATATGAAACAATACCTCCTCCCACGGTGGGAGGAGGTATTGTTTCATATTCTCTGTGTGTATATAAAGTCTGCTGCAGTTTCCACGGTATGCATCCGATGAAGTGAGCTGTAGCTCACGAAAGCTCATGCTCAAATAAATTGGTTAGTCTCTAAGGTGCCACAAGTACTCCTTTTCTTTTTGCGAATACTGACTAACACGGCTGTTACTCTGAAACCACTCATATTTCTAGCTTCAGATACAAGAATGATACATGCAGACAAATAGGAGGAATATATTCAGTAGGTTATAACCTTTGTTATGATACCTTACAAGAGACCTTTTGCATAAAGCATATTCCAGTTAAATCATATTCACGCTCATAAGCATATTTCCATAAAACATATGGAGTGCAACATCACACTGCCTCCTTCTTCCATTTTGAGAGCACATCTTCATTTAAACAGCGAATAACTTCCCCACTGCATGTGTCTGCTCAGGGAGGTGGGAGCATGTCTGTGTACCCCACTGCCTGGGATTCACTGCATGCTGGTGAGGAAACCCTTATCCAGTGGTGCCAATATATTAACAAACATTCTGGTACAAGCAGTGTGGGACCTAAGAGTTCAAAAGATCCCAGCACCGCTTGCGACGGGAGGCTGGACTCAGTGTAAGTAGGGAGCATATGGCAGTCCTAGCAGCTGGATTTCAATTAAGCTACAAATCCTCAGTTTCCCCTGCAAGGATAACAATGGAGCCTGATCCAGTGGAAGGGCTGTAAACGTTAACTCCTCTCCAGTGCAAGAAGCGTGTTGGAGCAGGGCATAATAATGAGTCCCTAGCTCTTATCTAGCACTCTTCATAGCAGTATTGTCCCAATTTTACAGATGGAGAAACAGGCATAGAGCAGCCAAGTGACTTGCCCAAGACCTTCCAACAGGCCAGATGCAGAAATAGAACCCAAATCTCCAGAGTCCCAGTCTAGTGCTCAGATGGGCTATAATGCCTAAGGTGCAGCATAGCTCATCCAGAGTGGGGAGCTGACCTTTGACCGAAAATCTTGTCACTTTCGGACAAAGCATCACTATTGGAAACACTCTTGCTCCAGATGTGTCTTGGATCAAATGGGTTTCTTTGCGTGGGGACAGCCTTTGAGCCTGAGCCTGTTTGCCCAAATGTCCTGTCTTAGGTCTCCTCTTGGAGCATTTTAGTAACAGAGGCATTGACCTCTCCTCTTCCCACTTCTCACAGGTCGCAACAAGCAAATGAACCTGAGTGGACGACCCTTCCGTTACATGGGAGTCCTGGGCACATCCAAGCTCTATGACATCAGAAAGAACATCTTCACCTTTACACCTCAGGTAGGTGGCCATGCTGAGCAGTGTGGCAGCTGAGTGTGTGTCATGGTGGTAGATGTGTATTAACCATGCTGTGTCAGCGGTGCAGCTCCAACCAGGTAGGTGCATGGCCTTTAGGGCTTGAAGCACAAGCTTCTCTTTAAAGGGTGCTGCAGACTGCTAAGTGTAGTTGTAGCCATGTGGAGCCCAGGATATTAGAAAGACAAGGTGGGGGAGGGAATGTCTTTTACTGGACCAGCTTCTGTTGGTGAGAGAGACACCGTTTCAAGCGACACAGAGCTCCTCTTCTTAGTCTCTCACCAACAGAGGCTGGTCCAGTAAAAGGCTGGTCCACCTACCTTGCCTCTCGAAGAGGCATGAAGTCAGAGTTGGGGCCTTCCCAGTCCACGGAAACCTGTCAGTTTCTCCATAGCAGGTGCTTCAATGCTGTTTTTTAAAGGAAGTGATCCATGGCAGCAGTCCAGCCCCTGGGTGGACCCTACCATAAAAGCAGTGTGTGCACAGCAATGGAAGGAAATGTCTCTTTGCTCAGCCAGTCCTGGGAACAGTCCTGGCTGCCCATGGTACCACATGATGCCATGGTGCTCAAGACTCTGCAGCTGGGCGTAGCAACAAAGCAGTTTGTGGAGAAAGCCTCACAAGAAGGGAAAGGGGAACAGCCAGCGCCTCCTGGTTGGGGAGGCACCAAGAGTGTGGGCAGGAAGTGCTCCTGTAAGCAATTCTTCCTTTTCTTTACAAACAGGGAAGCCCACTAGAGGCTGCTGTGAATAAGGAGAAATTAGGAAAAGCCGTAAAACCTGATTTTCTTTTAAAAAAACAAACAGACAAAAAACCCCAAAAAACCACTAAAATCTCTTGGTTTCCTCCTTTTTAAGAACACCAAGAGGGACTGGTAATACAGCAGGGAGATTTCCACCTTCTAGGTCCCTAGTTCCAGCCCAGGCTAGGGGTGCAACAATCAAAAGCCAGGGTGCATCACGCTGCCGCATGGCTTTGAGCAGGGGGTTGGACTAGATGACCTCCTGAGGTCCCTTCCAACCTTGATATTCTATGATTCTATGGCTCCTATGTGCAGAGAGTAGTTGAGCAATTAAAATCTCCTGCCAACTGGTCCCCAGGCTGGCAGGCATGGCAGAGAGCCTGAGGGCTGCGTGGGCACAGAGGCAGGTCATCCTCTTGCTGCAGCAGGTGACTTCCCTGCATCAGGCCTATGCACACTGGAGAGGCTGTAAAGCCTACACCATCTGCAGCTCTGTAGGCAAACAGAGGCTGTCAGCCCAGCCTAAAGTCCACAGGCTGTCAGGAGAACACAGAGCAGTCAGAGCTCCCGTCACCAAGATGATACAGCAGCCATGCTTGTGTCTCTTGGGCTAATGACTTGTGTATGGGTGGTAGGAGGGTAAATGAGGAGAGAAACAGACTATGTGGGAAATAAGTGACACCACCCCCTCCCCCCCGCTGCCCCCACAAGGGCATTTATCTAACAGTGATTGCTACAGAGCTGTTGAAATCTGGTCTGTCTCTGTATTGATGCGCTTTGTCACTATGGTAGCTGCTAGAAATGCACTGGAAGGGCACTTCCCCTCACAGCAGGATGCTGCTGAGCAGCGCCCATTGCTCTTCTCTCCAGAAGTGTCACTGCCATGGATTCTGATTTAATTACTCTGTGGCAACCAGCAGGTTCCCATCGCTGTATGACAGCATTAGCATCTTCCCACACCTGCCTATCAGCTGGAGAGCTGGCAGCCGTGCCTAAAGCAGGAGTCTTGAATCTGCGGTTGTCAGTCTCCAGGCAGGTTATGTAGAAAGGATTTCCTAGCAGCCAGGAACTAGCTTCTCCCATACAGCCTCTATGATTCTCCAGTATTGCCTGTCTTGCACTCATGCAGCCTACAGAACATGCCACCTGTAAGACCCCTAAATCCTGCAGATGCCCAGAACCAGTCCATGGCAATGGACTGACCTGCTTGCTGTGACATTGCAGAAGCCCTTTCTAGTTTTGCTCTTTCGTCTTATGAATGGAACACTGCCCACCTCTCCCTGTGCTGCAGCAGCAGTCCGAGTCCTTGTGGCTTTCAGCCTCTCACGCTCACCTCTGCTCCTGCGTCCCCTGCAGTTCATCGATCAGCAGCAGTTCTACTTGGCCCTGGACAACAAGATGATCGTGGAGATGCTGCGGACAGACCTCTCCTACCTGTGCAGCTGCTGGAGGATGACTGGACGGCCGACAATCACCTTCCCCATCTCGCAAACCATGCTCGGTAAAGGGCCCTCTGGCCTGTCTCTTGACGGATATCCAGAAAGGCAAAGTCAATGCAGCCCTTAAACATAGCGTAGCCTCTTAGCCCCAACCCCTAGAAGATGTGCACTAGGAAGTTCTGTGGAGCTGGTCCGAAGGTCCCAGCTGATCAATGGGAAGGCAGCAGACCTGTGCTGTCATGCTCTGACCTGTTGTAACAAAGCGGCCTTTGGCGGGACACTACTGAGAGTATCAATTCAGGACAAATTGCTTAGAGCATGGCAGTCACAGCCCAAGAATAGGGGTCCTTTACTACTAAGGCGCACTAAACCAGCCAAACAGAGAGAACTTCGGTTTTACCCCACTGGCTAACCAGAAGTCATACAAGCAATTCCCTCAGACACTCCAGTTTCTCAGGATCACCACCAGTGCCACTCCTTATAGAGATGAATGGTTATGAAAACCAATACCCCAGTAAACGAAGAAAAGTTCTCCCAATTCCAAAGGACCAAGCCCCAGACCCAGGTCAATATACCAGTCAGATCTTACCCACAAATCACGCTGTTGCCAATCCTTTAGAACAGGGGTGGGCAACCTGAGCGTGAGAAGGAGCCAGAATTTACCAATGAACATTGCCAAAGAGCCCCAGTAATACCTCGGCAGCCCCCCATCAACCCACCTCCCGCCCACCAGCTGCCCCGCCGCTTGGCGCCTTCCCCTCCCTCCCCACACATCCCAAACAGCGTGCAGGAGGCTCTGGAAGGGGGTGGGGAGAGGAGTGAGGGCACAGCAGGCTCAGGGGAGGGGGTGGAAAGGGGTGGAGTGGGGGCAGGGCCTGTGGCAGAGCCAGGGGTTGAGCAATGAGCACCCCCCAGCACATTGGAAAGTTGGCGCCTGTAGCTCCAGCCCTGGAGTCGGTGCTTATGCAAGGAGCTGCATATTAGCTTCTAAAGAGCTGCATGTGGCTCTGGAGCCACAGGTTGGCCACCCCTGCTTTAGAATCTAAAGGTTTATTCATAAAAAGAGAGAAATATAGATGAGAATTAAAATTGGTTAAATGGAATCAAATACATACAACAATTGTGAAGTTCTTAGTTCAGGCTTGTTTCAGGGTTGATGGGATTACTGCTAATTTTAAACCAATCGAGTCTCTGGAGTACAGACGTCCCAGCTTGGGTGGGTCATTCAGAGCTTCAGTTTCAAGCACAGTTCCTCCAGAGGTCAGAAGCAGGATTGAGGACAAAATTGGGAAGATGCAGCTGCCTTTTCTAGTCTCTTGCCATGGGCCCTGCGCTTCCTTTGTTCCGGACACAAGCTGCCCAGCACATGGCTTGGAAGCCTGAGAGTTCTCTCCTTAGGCATGTCCCTGCATGCCTTGCTGAGTCATAAGATGTATCTGCCTTCTCTCAATGGGTCAGTTGTAGAGCTGATGGTTCTTAATGGGCCATCAAGCAGGCCAGGCAGTGCTGATGCCAGACTGTCTGGGGTATCACCCAGAAGCATAGCACAAGTTTGAAATACAGACAGACATATATATTACTCCTAATACAAAGGTGATACAAACATATAAACAAGATAATCATATTTGGCAAATTATAAAATTTTTGCAGATATCTTACATGGCATATCTGTCTGATTACGGACCTGGGGATTGCAGTGGATGAGAAGCTGGATTTGAGTCAGCAGTGTGCCCTTGTTGCCAAAAAGGTTAACGGTATATTGGGCTGTATTATTGGGAGCGTTGGCAGCAGATCAAGGGAAGTGATTATTCTCTTCTATTTGGCACTGGTGAGGCCACACCTGGAGTACTGGGTCCAGTTTTGGTCCCTCCACCTCAGAAGGGATGTGGACAAATTGGAGAGAGTCCAGGGGAGAGCAACGAAAATGGTTAGGGGGCTGGGGCACATGACTTAAGAGGAGAGGCTGAGGGCACTGGGATTGTTTAGTCTGCAGAAGAGAAGAATGAGGGGGATTTGATAGCAGCCTTCAACTACCTGAAGGGGGTTCCAAAGAGGATAGAGGTAAGCTGTTCTCAGTGGTGGCAGATGGCAGAACAAGGAGCAATAGTCTCAAGTTGCAGTGGGGGAGGTCTAGGTTGGATATTAGGAAACACTATTTCACTAGGAGGGTGGTGAAGCACTGGAATGGGTTACCTAGGGAGGAGGTGGAATGTCCATTCTTAGCAGTTTTTAAGGCCCAGCTTGACAAAGCCCTGGCTGGGATGATTTAGGTGGTGTTGGTCCTGCTTTGAGCAGGGGATCGGACTAGATGACCTCCTGAGGTCTCTTCCAACCCTAATATTCTATGATTACTTCATGGGCGTTGCCCCAGGAGCCAACATTTGAAACAGGTATACGGCCAATACTTACAACTTTAATTACAAAAATAATACATGCATACAGATAGCATAATCATAACCAGCAAATCATAACCTTTTCATAGACCCCTTACTTGACCTCCTTTGTACAAGATTTGGTGCAACTATAGGACCTTGGTCGCAACAATGATCTATACGGTCACGGTTCATGTCAATAATGTCACACATGTGAAGAACTTGCCTTGCTGTGGAAGGCACTGCATCAAGAGGGAAGGGTCAGACTGAACACCATTGCGGTTGGGGCCTCAGAATACAGATTTTTGTTAAAGAGGCTGCATTGTGCAATATTGGCAAAACATTAGTGTTAAATGCCTCCCTCCCCGCCTATAGGATATGCCTCCGCCCTCGGGCATTGTGGGTATCTCCAGAATCCATGCCAGCCTAGAGTTCTGCTGTTTAGCTTGAGCTGGTTGTATTTTTATGAATGAAACTCTTCTTTGTAGAAAAAACTGCCTCATCTAGGACATATTTTTGCAACAATTTCTGTCTGAATTTTCATTTTTCTCCTTCCTCCATCACTTAAAAAAGAAAAAAATTGTTAAATGGTTGTGAAGGAAAAAGAAACAATAAAATATTGGCAAAGTGAGCGGTGGCTCCATTTGAGCCCAGTAAAATGGGAACAGAACCGTTCTTCCCTGGTCGGCCAGCCCTGCTGTTGGCCCTACATGGAGAGGGGGACTTTCCTCACACTGCCCCTCTCATTTTCACTGGTGTCCCAGTCTATTTTAAGCCCATTCTGGGTATTTCTAATATAATCCTTGCTGTGGCATCCCATTGCTCTCCCTGCAGTCCCCCTACACTCTAGTACCTGGGGCTGATATTTCATTCCCCTGCCTGTGGAAGCCCTGTCCCTGGAAGCCCTCGAGTTGGGCTGGCTGGGCTTGCAGCCAGGCCCTGTCAGTATAAATCCTAGGTGCTTGGGACGTGTTTGCTTTGCCTGCCCACGGCAGTCTGGCTGGGATCCCCCTATGAGACTGGCATCTGGGAAAGACTTTATATCCTGCCCACTCAGCATCTGTTTCCCTTTTGGAGACTGGCTGCCCTTGCTTCTTTCCACATGGACATTTCTCCCTGATTTCCTCCAGCCTGTCAGGTGCATAAGTGGCCTGTGACATTACAAAGAGGTTGTTTGATCACAAGATAATTCTGGAACAAAGGCACTCCCTCGAGACAACTGAGATTTGGCTAGAGGACATCTCACCTGTGCTGAAGAGAAGAAAAAACCCTCCCTGTTCCAGGGCTTGATCCCTTCCATTGCCATAGTTGGCAGAGGAACTTGCCCCTCCGGGCCTGCTGCTAGCTTGGGTTTGTAGTGAGACCTTTTGGCTTGCGGGGGAAGTGGAGGGAGCCCCATTGCTTGGCACATCTTAAGTAATCAGCCTGGACAGAACCCAAGTCCATACACTCTTAGGAAACAATCCTGCATTGGTGAGATAAGTTCTACTGGGTTATGGGTCCCTTTGATCTAAGAGCAGGATGAACCATCTCCTGAGGTTGGGTGGAGTCACCTTTGCTCTCACCCACACTCTGTTAATTTCCCTCTCTCTCTGCTATTGATGATCAAGCTCATTCCCATCAATCAGTCCCTTAGTGAGAGGCTTTCTGGCTGCCCTTTTGGAGGTCCCTATAGAAGAGCAGCTGGGAAGGTGACTTGGTGCCCCCCTGCCCAAAAAAAAAAAGCCCTTTGGAAGCCTGTAGTTCTGTCGGAGAACTAGGAATGGATCAGCCAGTGACCTGGCTCCAATGCCATCTGCTTCAGAGGATGTGCAAGAAAACTTGATAGACAACTATAGAATAACCTGCCATAACTGAAGTGCCTTCCTAGCCTTAGTGATTGGTTAATGCTGAGAGGCATGAGGGCTTATATCCCCTCTTCATCTTTATTCTAACTCATGTAATGGTATCATCTCCTTGTCATTGATCTATGGAAATATCTAACCCTTTTGTTTGAATCCCGCTAAACTTTTGGCCTCTGTATCTAGTGGCAATGAGTTCCACATGTTATCTGGTGTGTAAAAAGGTATTTCCTTTTATTTCCCTTAAATTTGCTGCATTTGAATTAAATTGACTGTTCCTTTGTCCCTTTGGGAAAAGGTGACTAAGAGCATTTCCGTCTCTGTCCCACTCTGTATAACTTTCTCATGTCTCCTCACTGCAGTAGTCAATCCTGCTGACACGTGCTGGTCTCTAGCCTTTGAGTGACTGTATACACTGTCTGTTACAGTTCAAATGGTCATTGTTCTCACATGATTAGGAAACCTCTGGTCACTTTTAGAGGTACCTAATCAACCTAGTTACACCTCACAATCACGTACCTCAATTATGGAGACTACCTGTTGGGCAGAAGGACTGATCTCCTTGCCCTCACTATCTGTCTCTCACTGTCTCTTTCACTATGTATCTTGCCACTGCATGGGTGGTAAGCTGCAGTGCGTTGGCTATCACTCTGAGCCCCACACGAGGGTATAGGCCAGCCCTAGCACACAACTGCTTGTGCCTGGGACTTCCAAGAAGTCCTGGCTGAGTGTGTCTTGGATGTTAAATGACCTTGTTATTGTTTGGTGCTTTTGTGGAAGGCAGCCTGCTAAAGAGTGAAGGGGAGCCTCGTTAGGCCTGGTTTATGCTACAAAATAAGACTGTGACCTGGCCTAAACTAGAGTTAGGTTGACGTAAAGCAGCTTGCGTTGATCTAACTACGTCAGTGTTCACACTACAGCCTTGCTCTTGCTGATGTACGTGCTCTACTACACTGACATCATCACTCCACCTCCACAAGTAGTGTAGGGCTCATGTTGGTGTCATTAAGATGACAGTGTCCCTGTAGACACTGTATTACTTCCTTTGGCTGTTGGCTGTCATTCTTGTCAATTTCAGGGTTCTGTGCTGGAGCTGTGAAATTGACAAAGTCCACCTCACAGCTTGGGCCATCATTCTGGGATGGTTGGGGGGCTGCTCAGGGAGGAGCTGTGCATGGAGCGGAGAGTCCAGGCTCTCAGCCTCCCACTCCGCCCCTCTTAAGAAGGTGGAAGCCCTCCTGGTGAGGACGTGTGACAATGACCGACAGAGGGTAGTGTGGACATGAGCTGGGCTGTAATCTGGCCTAGCATAGGTTGGTTGATTTAAGTTTATAGTGTAGACATGCCCTGTGTCCCAACACACCAGCTAGGTCTTTGGGTGGCCAGGGAAGCCTTTTTTTAGAATAACAGGGGGGCAGGGGAAGGTCTGTGTGTGTTGGCATGCACGAGGGATTCTCATGGAGTTGTCTTTCCAGTGGTTGGAGAGAATCATAAACACTATTTAAATAAATGTGTGTGTGTGTATATATATATATAAAAAATATTTTAAAAATGCCCTGTCTGGATTGCCAGGAGATTCTGCATGAATGTGTCTCCCTTGAGTCATTCTCATGGCTGGTATCTCTCTGTCTGTGACAGATGACACTGGAACCAGCATCCACCCGACGGTGCTGGCAATGCTGAGGAAGCTGAAGGATGGGTATTTTGGTGGGGCGAGGTAAGCAAGAGCCGCTGTTCCCATAGCGTGTACCCGCTGGCTGATTGTGCTCCAAGGACCATGTGAAGCGGGGTTTGCAGGGATGCTCCTGTGGCAAAGCATTGCCAGCCAGCTCTGATCTGAGGAGATGCAGTCTCAGCTTAATGAAGGCCCAGCAATGCCCCCTCATTGTGACGTGTTTGACATTCCATCGCTGACTTGGACGTTGGTAGTAACCTTATCCCTCAGTCCCCCCTCTCTGGGGTAATCCAAGGCGTTTAAAGCCCTAGGGGCAAAGTGCTTGGGTTTGGCATACCTTTCAGTTCAAAGAGGGGCCCTATTTTACCCTGTTCAGCTTGGGGCGGGGGTGGTGGTGGGGAAGGAGCGCTACTTCTACCCATGGGCAGAAGGGGTCCCAGAGAAGGGGATTTGAAGTGCTTTGCAACAGGAGGTGTTTTTACTAAACCTTCAGTTACAAAGTCTGCACAGGGACATAGACCAGCGCATCAGCTGGGAACCTGCACATCACTGCACAGTCTTGCCCCAAGTTCACAATGCCATGGCCAAACCCTACAAACCCTTATTCCCATTCTTAGTGTCCAATACTTCAATATTGCAGTCGTGGGCATTCTGTAAATACCCGAGGTAGATATAAATGTGACTGCATAGGGGAGTAAGCACTATGCATGGGGGTGAATAGTTTTGGGGGTTGGGTTCATATACTTCACAAAAGAAAAATTCTCTAAATTTTCCCTTTTGTCCCTGAGTGACCTGTGGGACTTGCCCTCTGTTCCCACCCCACATCTGGTCCCATAGTCCAGTTTGGCCATGTCTGGGTGCTTTGTCCCCCTCTAGTGGCTGGATCAAAGAGGTTTACAAGTCTGCTACAGTTGTTGAGCTACCAGAGCTGGCTCTTAGCTCAGGCAGGAGAGGCCTGTATGTCTAGATCCAGAGATCCCAACTTCGACCCCTACTGTCAACAACCCACCAAGAGGCATTTCGTTAGCTGGTTCATGTTTGTTTGCAAGGTGATTTCAGGTAGACCCTCAGGCATTCCTCCCTCTTTCTGAAGTTCCAGTTCCTAGTTGGAGGGAGTGACTGCGGCCCAAGTGCTGCCTCAGCAGTGTGCCATGTAATAGAGGTTTGAAGAGCCTCTTCCTCTTTTCAGCTAACTCTGCATCTGTTCTTGTGTAATGTTCTGACCTCCCAATAACCAAATTGTCCATCTATTTCTGTCCCATTCTGCTTTGGTGGCTGTGGATATCTTGCCCCAGTGGTCTTTCTTTTGACTCTCCCTCTCCTTCCTCCTAATGTCTCAGCAGAAGTCAGTATGGCTCCCTATGCTTGTTTATATCCCCCTCACTTAGCTGGGTTATGGAGAAACATGCAGCACTGGATCGGTTTTTGTTTATTGCTTCTCCAGGCCTGCAGAGGGCGCTCTGAAGTAAAGGTTAAAGCCATTAAAGGTTTGGCCCTTAACACATCTGAGGTCAAATCACACTTAATGATGGTCACAATATTGCACAATATCCCCAGTGAGGGCTGTAGCGGACTAGGGCTCACTGAGCAGTCTGACATTCCAGCCAGTAGCGGGCAGTGCGTGTGGACACATGTTAGCCAGTACACTACAGTTCCATTGGCCCTAGGTTAGGGAAGGGAAGAGGCTGACTCATGCTCTCTGATGCAAAACTAGCAGAACAAGCCCATGGCACTTCTCATCTGATCTCTCCTCTCTGTCTCGCCCAGGACCCAAACGGGTAAGTTGTCTGAGTTCCTGACAACTTCGTGTTGCACGCACCTCAGCTTCATGGATCCTGGTCCAGAGGGTAAGCTCTATGCCGATGATTACGGGCTCAGCATTGACAGCTACAGTGAGCTTGATCCTGAGGAGTGGCTGCATGGCTTTCAATTAGCGAGTGACGGTAAGGAGGAAGGGGTTGGCGACCTTGATGCGCTGGAATAGGCTGTGCTCAGGAGTGCCACGCTTATCTATTAAACCAGTTAACTCTGAGGCTCTCAGCAGAAAGCCTTACTAACTTATTTAGTGTATTTGGATTTCCACCTTGGTTTTGTTCTCCCTTGACCCCCCCAACAATTAACCATGTCTCTCTAACCTGACTGTGGTGTTAGGAGGATTGAGGGCTGGGTGGATTGCTGACCTGGACATTGAGTCTTTGCTTTTGTGGGTGTGACAGGCAAAAGCCAAGTACAAGGGGAGGAAGCGCTGATTGGAAGCTAAGGAACTTGACTCTCTGCTGTAGGACCAGTGTGGGGAAAATACAGAGGGTGACGTTGCACATTAGCATCTGAATTGGAAAGAACCTGGACAGGACCTGTTTAAAATCCTGGGATATCTTTAGGAAGAGATGATACATGTCTGCGTCCAGTTAGCTATATTAAATAGTCTGGAAGGACGGTTTTAAGAACTGATGAAAGTGAATGTTTTCTAGCTCCACGTAGGGTCCAAGGTGCCAGTTTTATGGGAAAATGTGTAAGACTTTAGGTCTTAAGTGCTTTGCTGAGTCAGGGCTCTGGTCTTGTGGGCTGTATGTCCTGATATGGAGCCAGGTCAGAGCAATCTGTTGCCCTGTTACAGAAAACACCTCCCTGGCCCTAAAGACACAGAGTGTCCTGTTCTTCCTCCCAGGTTGGGCCAGTGTAGCTGGCTGAGATGGTTTGTTTCTTGTCCCATGATGTTGTCCTTGATTTCTCGTTTCCAAAGATCTCTCATAACCAAGTGTCTGTCCCAATCCCTTTCCTTAACTCTCCTCTATTCTCTCGATTCATCCACTAGCCCATTTAGCCCATTAACTGCCTGTAATCAGCTTGCTATTGCATCTCCACCCTCACTCCCAGATAGCTGGTATCCCTGCTCTGGACTTGGCATGGGGTTTTTCTCGTAAGTTCTCTTTTTGCATCTTTTTGGCGTGCATACTGCTAATCTAGATTTCCCTTTACTGTGATGTCTGCACCTTAGGGAGCCTGTGCCTGTATGCAGCAGCTGTAGGGCTAAGTTGTAGCCTCTGCTCTGGCCAAATGTGCTCTTTTAACCGGAACCTCTTGAGGCAGCAAAACAGTTGAGAGCTCCTGAAGCTTCCCAGATATCCAGGCGACAGTCCAGATGCCTTCTGCAGCATCTCATAGTCCCACATAAGATGATTAAAAATCCCCTGCACAGTATCTTTGAGTGGCGTCTCTGCTTATGGCTATTGCAAAGAGCCCCTGTCTGAAAGCCCTTCCAGATGCTTGCTAGCCAGGCTGCTAGGGAAGTGCCCCATTCAGACCTGAATACCGGGCAGATGCTGAAACATCTCTGCCTGTATGGACGCCCAGACCTGAACACTGGCTAGACAGTTTGTACAGGAAATCGGATGAAAGTGCGTGTGCTCTAGAGTAAGTGTTCACATGAAAGCTGTGTGGCCACGCTCATGCACAGTTAAAGCAAGGGTGTCCCAGCATGACTTTTGCATGCGACTGTCATGGCCTTCATCCTGATGGCATTGCATTTACATAGAATCCATCTACGTTATGTTATATTATAAATGTTCTCCTGCAGGAGGCAGGGTGCTGCAATTCATGCAGGTGCACTGTACTGTAAATCTGTATGGTGTTCTCCATGTTGCATGGCTAGCTAATAACCGACTTTGGTACTGCATGGGCTAGCAATCTGTCACTCGTCATCTGCAATGACCCAGACCCTGCCATCCAAGGATGTTCAATTGCTGCCGCAGAGAGCGAGCGAGCGAGAGAGCGAGCACGGCTGCATGCATGTGTCTGTGTAGGCAAGTGATGTAAATCACACTACAGGCTCGCTTCACTGTAGCTTGAGTGTGTCGAAAACATCTGAGGTGCACTCTTGAGAGAGCCCTGTCAGCAATGTGCTTCCATGTGAGGCAGTGCACAGGTTGTCTTTGTGTTGTAGCCTCTGGGCCCTCTGTGCAATGCAATAAGGCTTTGATGCGATACTGGCTCTGTTAACAGTGTGGTAATGCTGGGGTGGGGGAGGTGTTCAGCTAGCCATCATAGAAGGCATAGGATTGGCCAGGAGTCCAAGTGCATATAAGCCCTTTTCGCTCCACACCAGACTTGTTTGATGTCTTGGTTACTGCTAATCCTGGGCTGTGGGCAGGAAACGAGGAGATCATGGGGCCAGCAGGTGCCAGGGCTAATTGGGTTTTGACCCCAGGCGGGAGATGGTAGAGTGCAGAGCTAGTTGGATAGAAAAGAGGAAGGGAAGGGATTGCCTGACTAATCTAATCGCCTTTTATGATGAGATTACTGGTTCTGTGGATGAAGGGAAAGCAGTGGATGTATTGTTTCTTGACTTTAGCAAAGCTTTTGACACGGTCTCCCACAGTATTCTTGTCAGCAAGTTAAGGAAGTATGGGCTGGAAGAATGCACTATAAGGTGGGTAGAAAGCTGGCTAGATTGTCGGGCTCAACGGGTAGTTATCAATGGTTCCATGTCTAGTTGGCAGCCGGTATCAAGTGGAGTGCCCCAAGGGTCGGTCCTGGGGCCGGTTTTGTTCAATATCTTCATAAATGATCTGGAGGATGGTGTGGATTGCACTCTCAGCAAATTTGCGGATGATACTAAACTGGGAGGAGTGGTAGATACGCTGGAGGGGAGGGATAGGATACAGAAGGACCTAGACAAAATGGAGGATTGGGCCAAAAGAAATCTGATGAGGTTCAATAAGGATAAGTGCAGGGTCCTGCACTTAGGACGGAAGAACCCAATGCACAGCTACAGACTAGGGACCGAATGGCTAGGCAGCAGTTCTGCGGAAAAGGACCTAGGGGTGACAGTGGACGAGAAGCTGCATATGAGTCAGCAGTGTGCCCTTGTTGCCAAGAAGGCCAATGGCATTTTGGGATGTATAAGTAGGGGCATAGCGAGCAGATCGAGGGACGTGATCGTTCCCCTCTATTCGACATTGGTGAGGCCTCATCTGGAGTACTGTGTCCAGTTTTGGGCCCCACACTTCAAGAAGGATGTGGATAAATTGGAGAGAGTCCAGCGAAGGGCAACAAAAATGATTAGGGGTCTGGAACACATGACTTATGAGGAGAGGCTGAGGGAGCTGGGATTGTTTAGCCTGCAGAAGAGAAGAATGAGGGGGATTTGATAGCTGCTTTCAACTACCTGAAAGGGGGTTCCAAAGAGGATGGCTCTAGACTGTTCTCAATGGTAGCAGATGACAGAACGAGGAGTAATGGTCTCAAGTTGCAGTGGGGGAGGTTTAGATTGGATATTAGGAAAAACTTTTTCACTAAGAGGGTGGTGAAACACTGGAATGTGTTACCTAGGGAGGTGGTAGAATCTCCTTCCTTAGAGGTTTTTAAGGTCAGGCTTGACAAAGCCCTGGCTGGGATGATTTAACTGGGATTTGGTCCTGCTTCGAGCAGGGGGTTGGACTAGATGACCTTCTGGGGTCCCTTCCAACCCTTATATTCTATGATTCCATTCTTGCCTGTGATGGCTTGGAGGCAAACTTTGTCTAATAGTTCTTGATTATCTATTAGAAATAATTTATTCATAATAAGAAATAGCATTTTGAGTCCCATCAGGGCCCTGCTGTGCTGAGTCTCTCACAACTAGGAAGAGACAGTCCCTGCTCAGAAGAGCTCAGTCTGGTTGTAGAGAAGGGGATGTGTCGTGCCAAGGGGATGTGTCGTGCCAAGGGGATGTGTCGTGCCAAGGGGAAATGTGTAGGCCGGGGGCCACGGGGCCAAGCAGACTTGTTTTGTGCGAGGCTTGCAGGGTTTGGGTTCATTCCTTTTATATAAGGAAAGGAGATATGAATGATGATGGTGACCCCTGGCAGGAGCCTCATGAATGCAGCTCTCTGCCCACCAGGAGCCAGGCTGGAGAAGAGTTTGGAGTGAAACCAAGAAGCATGGTCATGACTGCACTTAAGCCCACTGTGATCTCAGTAACTCTACATGTGCTGTTTCCTGGAGCAGCTAGGGTTGAATTGTGCTGGGTGCTTGAGATGCACTGAATTGACTTAATGTGGTGTTGCCTTTTAAATGGATACTGCTCTTGCTTTTAGAAATAGCATAAAAATATGCACCTCAAATACTTGGGCTAACCCAGTGAAAGGCTCTACCTCATTTCCCAGATGATGGATAAACTAGGCTTCCTTTGGGTTCCCACTAGGATCACATGCAGCCAGGGGAGGGGGCTGGTGAAGCCCAGACTGATTTTAGTTGAGGGATTTCAGTCTGGTATGTGTGTGCTGCAGCTGACTGCCCCGCATCAGAAAGGAGAACAGCAACAGGACCAAAGGGACAGAGAGCACTGCTGGAGTTGGAGGCTGGGTTTCTGAGGACTGGATTGATAGCAGGCATTGCAAGGTGTGGAGAGGAGGGACTAGGAACCATGTCCGATACAGGAACTGCTCTCCGAGGCTGCTGCTGGTGCTGTACCTGTGTCTGCCTAATGAATGAGCCAGGCATGCTGTTGCTGCATCATATAGGGAGACTGCGCCTTTTCCATGTTACCAGTGCACTGGAGGCAACAGAAGTTCTCCCTACAGCAAGGAAAACCCAGGGGAGCCTAGGCATAAAGTGATTAAACCCCTCTCTTCTGCCTGCTCTTCCAGCTGACGTTTGTGACGAAGTGGCTCAGTATTTAGATCACCTTTTGGAGCACACAGCTCCCAAGGCCGCCCAGAAGGGAGGGCTGCATCGCTTCCGAGCCGCAGTGCACACCACTTGTGACCTCATGTCCCTGGTGTCCCAAGCCAAAGAGCTGCACGTACAGAGTGAGTAACACACCAGGCGCTGCCCCCGGGGAGCAGCCATGTGGCTGGGGTCATACATGGACTCTTCCTCTCTGCAGAGCCAAGCTCTAGGCCCCAGGTGACTCACTGGGAGGTGGGGGGCCTCCACAACCAATGGAGGTATTCCCACCCCTTGCTCTGGGGCAGGTCGGCATGACTGGTAGCCTCTGGAGTAACAGGGGTGGCATTTCAGGCACAAGGTATGTTGGGGAGCCATGTGGCATGGCAGGCCATGGGAGAGCCAGCCCTTAGAGTCAGTGCCACAGTGAATCTTTCATCCCTGGTGTCCCTGGAAGTGAAGATTCTAGCCCGGCCGTATTACAGCACAGCAGTGAAGATGTGAAACTCTCCCTGTGGCTCCCTTCCCAGCCACCCAGAGCTTTCTCTGGGCCAATGGCTGCAGGCTTCACAGCCGTGTTGATTATGGAGGGAAGAACGATACCCACAGGGGCGGGGCGAAGTAGCCCTGGTGGTAGGGCTGGCCCTCGGTCCTCTGCTGAGCAGCCACTGGGGCCTCTCCCGCAAGGAGGGGCAGCTCAGATATGCGTGCTAGCGTTGTCCAGTGGACACCTGCCTTCCAGTCCTGACTCTGACACTGACTTCCTCTGTGGCCTTGGTCAGAATACTTACCCTTCCTCGTTATTTTCCCCAGATTAGAGGGGGAAGCTACTGCTCCCCTGTCTCACAGCAGATCTGACTGTTGGCATTTCCGTAGCTTGTTACATATATTCACCAAGCGTTAGTGTCTGACAGAAGCACGGGGGAGGTGGCAGAGGAGCTCTGGGACTCAGGGTGAGCAAAGGGCACTGAGCAGCGGGGAAGAGATGATGTAATGGTGGGGAGGAGAGATGAATAAGAAGTGAGCAGGCAGGATGGATTCAGAGTTAGAAATGGGACGGCTGCATTTTCCACTCTTTCCCCCGTGTTCCATTGGCCCCCTCCATCGCCATGCAGTGCAGCCCGGTGTCTGTCATGCAGCCTCACTGATGTAGCATAGTTTAATTTAGCTGGGAAGCTATTGGCTTTACCTGGCTTCCTGAGAAGCCCAGGGCATTGGGCCAACCTCTACCATATCTGCGTAAGTCATAGGGCTACAGCTGTGAGCTAGTTAAAGATGTGTACCCTGGAGGAGCCTGAACAGCCAGAGCAACGCTGTCCAGATGAGTGTGGAGCACGGTACCTGTGCTTTGAGTTCTCCTGAAGCAGTGACCTTCTCTGTCCGTTGGTCTGTTAGCGTTACGGGTCTGGTTGTTATGTACTGCTGAGACAGGAATGATGTTCGCAGCTCAGTGCCTCCCATGGCAGGGTGAACAGTGCCTGCATCAGACACTGGTGAACAGGCCACAAGGAGCAAACCCAAATTGGCTGGGGCAAACCCAAATTTCAAGTGGGGAGCCAAAGGTCTTTGCCACTTTCTGGCTTGTTCAGAAAGTTCTCGCCCTGAAATGGCAGTGCTCTTATGGCACATTCTGGAGTTTTCACACTGCAGAAGTGCAGGGATGCTGCATGGATGACACCAGCATACAAACAGCATGGCAGAGCTGTGCAAGACGCTGGAATTGTGCATAGAAATGCCCTTAATGGGGCATGTTCCTCACACTGTTTCCTGGTGTTGATCCTTGCCCTCTTGTTTGTATTGGGAGGTGGCATCTTAGCCCCACTCCTGCCTCTGCACTGGCCTAACCTCCTTTGTGAGCAGCTAAAGCCTCCTTAGGCCCAGAGCTCTGCAGCATCCCCTGCTGGCTGGCCTGATGAGCATGCAGCATCTGAACCTTGGGTTCTGTAGGGGTTTGCTACGATTGCAGCCAGCGGTGGTGCAGACCGTTGTACCCCAGTGCAGCTTAATCTAACTTGAGGCAGGAGTACACTGAATTGGTGCAAACAATAGCTTTGCCTGTCTGCACTGGTGGCTGGTCCCTAATAGCTGGAATTGGGGCTCTGTGTAGATAGAGCCTTATTTAAATCTGGGTGGGGCCAGGAGCAGAGCTAGCCTCCCAGTGCCTTTTCCCTTCTCTCTGTCCTGGTCTCGAGTTCCTCCATGGCTGGCACAGGGTAGGTCGGATGCAGGGGTTCTCCTGTCTGTCTCTGATATGGTCACCGATCAGGTTCATAAGGAGTTTCTTAGGCTACTGCCTTAGAGGTGGTTGGGGCTTTTCCCGGTCTCTGAGTGGGTCTGTTGTCGTCCCCCCCCGCCCACTCACAAAACTTAATATTTCTGCTGCTAACAGAGGAAGCTGCTTCACTGGACACCTTGTCCCCTTTACATCCCATCCTCCAGACACTTCCTTCGCATCTGTCTGTCGTCCCACCATTTGTCTGTCGCTGCCAGAGGTGTGCTGTGCGGCTCTGCCCAGGCTGGGGTGCGGAGTGCTGAGTGACAGCTGTGTCACGATGGAGTCAGGCTCACAGCTGCCAGAGCTGTAGTTCCTACCATGGTTGTAGTCTGGACTGACCACATCAGAAGCCCTGCCTATGCTACAGAGGTTATCATGTTGCAAGCATCCCCATCTCCCCACCAGCTGCCTCTTGCCTGTGTACACTGAACCTGTTCATCTGTTGATACCCTGTGTGGCTTTGCCTAGAACAGAGTTCACTCAAAGAGTTTGTCTGCACTAAGGAAATGTTGTACCCATTCTTCAGCATCCATGCAGTTGCACTGCCAGTAGCACGGATGTACATGCTAATGCATGTGAGCCTCAGCTGATGCTCGTATTTACATCTCTGCAGAGGCACCATTGCAAAAAGTGGGTACAGAAACATCTAGTGTAGATGCCAACTCGTCTGCTCTAAGAAAGGAGAGGTTGGCAGCAGCCTTCTGAAGTCTGTCAGAACCCTTACAAACTGCTGCTTCCAGCACGCCTCTCATTTGCAAAGAGACTGGGACCAAATTATGTGTAACTCTGTTGCCGAGTTTTGTGCCAGCCCTGCAAAGTTCAGGGCTGTTGCATGTTTTGATAGCATGGGTATAATGTAGGTTGGGTCCAGCCTAGACAGAGGAGACAGGTTGTGTTCACAATGGGATTGAAATCTGGAGCGGAGATGGGTCCACTGACCACATACCTAGGTAGGCAGGTGGAGAGTTTGAAGTGGGTTCTCAGTCTGTGGGTCGCAACCAGGTGCCACAAATAGAGCTGGGCAAAATTCTTTGGCTGCATCATTTATTTGCTACAAGATGCAGTTTTGGCTCGACCAAAACTATTCACAAATTGGGGTGGAATTTGACGAATACTTTCGAACAAAAGAAAATGAAGACTGACTTATTTTTGTTAAACTTTGTTTAGAAATTTAGCTATGTTTTTAAAAAAAACAAAACAAAACAAGGAAAATTCCTGAAAACAAAACAAAAAAAATGAAAAACAAGGACATTTTTTGTTGCAGGTGAAATGAAACATTTTGTTTGACCTAAAACATACATACCTGTATAGAGAAGTTTTTCAGACGTTTTAGGCGTGGCAACCAAAACATCTATTGGTTGTACCCACGCCCCAGCTGTAGTCGTGGCCACTGGGCCCTTCCCACATAGCTAAATGGCAGGAGGGTCCTGGCATAGAACAGGTTGAGGACTGGTCCATGAGCACCATCTAGAGCAGTGGTTCTCAAACTGTGGGTTGGGACCCCAAAGTAGGTCGTGACCCCATTTTAATAGGGTCACCAGGGCTGGCTTAAACTTGATGGGGACCAGGGCTGAAGCCCAAGGGCTTCAGCCTGAGGTGGCAGGGCTCTGGTTATAGGCCCCCTGCCTGGGGCTGAAGCCCTTGGGCTTCTGCTTTGTTCCCCCTCCCGCACCAGGGTGGTGGGGCTCACGTGGGCTCAGGCTTCAGTCCCACCTCCTGGGTTGTGTAGTAATTTTTGTTGTCAGAAGGGGGTCGTGGTACAATGAAGTTTGAGAACCCTTGATCTAGAGCAGAGATTCTCAAACTTTTGTATTGGTGACCTCTTTCACACAGCAAGCCTCTGAGTGTGACACCCCCCCCCCCCTTATAAATTAAAAATGCTTTTTTATATATTTAACACTATTATAAATGCTGGAAGCAAAGCGGAGTTTGGGGTGGAGGCTGACAACTTGCGACCCCCTCCCCATAATACCCTCGCAACCCCCGAAGGGTCCTGACCCCCAGTTTGAGAACTCCTGATCTAGAGCATGCTGCCAGGATGCTGCTGTAGCAGTTTAACTATTCCAATCCTGTTGGTCTGTAACCACTGGGAGAAGTTAAATGTAACAGTTACAAGTCATGACTCTCTGCTCTTGAGTTAACCCAAGTGTTACAACTGACCAAAGACTAACTGCTGTGTGCGTGAGACATGGGGCATTGTCCAGGCTCAGTGCTCACTGTTAGATACAACAGGTTAAAAATCTACAGAGAAACCTGATTGTCCTGATCAGCTCGTTTGCACTTCCTTTCTCAAGGCTGGTGGCACTACAGTGAGCAGGTAAAGCTAATCTGCCTCTAGAGCGTTATTAGTGTTCTACAGAAATTAACCCATGAAGGTAAGGTGGGTAAGTATTAACTGCTTGGCTTCCCCATCTGTAAAATGAGGGTAAGTGACTTCCCCAAGGCTGCAGAAGGGTCGATGTCAGAGTCAGGCTTTGAGAGTTCCTGATTCCAGTGCTGCACAGCTGTTGTTAAAACCTACAGAGTAACACCTCCCTGTGTCATGGCCAGCATGCCCCAGCTGCCATTCTTCTCCTCCTGCTCTCTTCTGCTGATCTAGCCCCTTGTTAAAGCTGGCCTGGGAAGACCCTCTCTCATCAAGCTGCCAAAGAGCCACTTGTTGTAACTCATAGGGAAGGCTGCAGAGCGCTGCCCTCTCTGCTCGCTCCCTGCTAGGCCTCCAGTGTGTGTGAAATCTCTGGAGCATTAAGTAGGTCTCATTTGCTGGATTAATCAAGCAATTAACTAGTTGATAAAATCCTACAGTGTTTGAAGGCCCATGTAATTAATCTTGGCTGCAGCATATCCTCCCAAGTGTAAGCCCTAGTCAGTCAGAGTTCTAATGCCTTGCAGCCTCTACACAAATTTCTAAGAGATTAGAGGATATTAAGCAGCCATCAATTCCCCTCCCAGTCCTATTCACCTGGGGTGGGGCCAGAGGACTGTGCGTCCCTTCTAAGCACAGTAGGCAGCAGCACTCACTGGAGGCTGTGAGTTAACAAGGATTTAAAACTCTCCTGAGCAGGGCAGGGCCCCAGATACTGTGCTGGGTAAATTGCAATGTGCTGCAGTTTAAAGCCTTCCAGAATAAACGTTGGTTTCTTGCAGATGTCAACATGTACATCCCATCCAAGCTGTTCCAGGCCTCCCAGCCTTCAGTGCACTTGCTGGGCTCCACCCATACACCCGAACAGGACAGCCAGGTAACCCTGAGCTGGGAGCAGGGTGGGTGCTGGGGGCGCTGAACGCATTCCGGCTTGAGAGTCAACTGTCTGGCTCCTAACAGTATCCAGTGTGCCAGCTAGAACGTACACAGACTGCTGCCCTGGGGTGGAGCAGCAGAATCCAAGTGGGGAAGTGGCCTGGGTGTCACCTGGGAACAGCTAGAGACATGGATAGTTCTGTTAGCCAGCTGCTCTCTGCAACCCTGTGACCCACTAGCTGCAGGAAACTCGAGAGGGGGAAGGGGGCAAACTGTAGCAAACAGACGAGAGGGTAGAAGCCCTGGCCTCGACAGAGCAGGGCCCACTGGGGAAGAAGGGAAGTGCTGCTGCTCTGGTATGTAACATGAGGGGGCAGTGGAGGTAGATCTGCAAGGCATGGGTGTGGAGCAGGAATCTGCTCACACTAGAGAGGAGGATAGGTTGGGTGGGGGGTTATCAGCAGAGCATCCTGGCTCAGAAGCCAGCCCTGGGCTGGGGTCCTCGCAAGCAGAGTGCTGTCCCAGCCCCTAGCAGTAGGGTGGGTCCTGCTTAGTGGAGACGGCAAAGACGTTGGCTGGTGCCGTGGCTTTAGCCAGCTTTAGAAGAAGGCATTAACCAGGGAAGAGCAGAGCCAAGGACCAAGTGGGGTGCTCTGGGATTCTAGGGGAGGGGTTGGGACACCAGCTAGAGCTCTAACATGGAACCCAATGACCACCTCCTCCTCCAGATTCCCTCGCTCCACACCATGGTGAACCTTCCTCGAGACAAGGCTGGAAACGTGGACTGCAAGGCCCTGGTGGATCAGCTGCGAGAGTGCCCCACCCTACAGGAGCAGGCTGACCTTCTCTACATGCTCCACACCCTCAAGTAGGAGTGTGGCCGGCCCCCAGCCTGCATTACCCAAGAAGCCCTTTATATTGCTTTGCTCCTGGCTTTATTTTCCTGATCATGGCATTACCACCCGCAATGAGAAGCCTAGGTGTTGCCCCCTCAGGAGAGGCGAGATGGGTAGCTCCCTGTGTTTCAGCCTTTATAACTAGTCTGGGAAATGTTTGCCAGATGGGAGGCTGGCGTGAGTTTCTGAAAACATGCCCTTGGTATGGATTCACCTCTTAGCCAGTTCGAAAATGATCACAGCAAGGTAGGGCTGGCAGGGACCTTGAGAGGCCATCTAGTCCAGCCCCTTGCTCTGAGGCAGGACCACGTAAACCGAGACCGGAGGTGGGCAAATTATGGCCCGCGGGCCACATGCGGCCCGCGGGACCATCCTGCCCAGTCCTTGAGCTCCCAGCCGGGGAGGCTAGCCCCTGGCCCCTCCCCTGCAGCCTCAGCTCACTGTGCTGCCAGCACTCTGGGCTACAGGGCAGTGAGCTCCTGCTGGGCCCTGCAGCTGCGAGAGCCGCCACCACACATTCCTATGGGAAGCAATTTAATACACTACGCCGCCCACCATACAGTTCTGGAACCCCGATGTGGTCCTCAGGCCAAAAAGTTTGCCCACCCCTGACCTAGACCATCCCTGAGGGGGTTTGTCAAACCTGTTCTTAGAAACCTCCAATGATAGGGATCCCACAGTCTCCCTAGGTCACCTGGTCCGGTGCTTGTGTTAGCACCTCTAATGAGATCTGGGTCTTGTTGTGCTGGGCACTGCACATATAATAAGAGATTCAGAATTTGCTGTCTCTAAAAGGATTAGTTAGGTACAGTTCTCAAGAGCTGGTGCATCTAAACAGGTAGCTCCATTGCGTTCCCTCAGCCTGGTGCATTGCTGAGCATGCTTTTACTAGCCAGGAGAGCATCCCCCTCCGTTGGAGTGTTATTGTAGTGTTTATGCTGAGCAGTCATGTGTTGCTATGTAATGGTGCTGCCATAGAGTTTGTGGGGGCTGGGTAAATAATCCTGCTCACGTAGTCTTTGCTGTGACCTGGCATCTCCTTGAACTCAGGGGGCTTGACTGGGACATGGAGATCGATGGCCAACCTGGTGCTACGGTCAAGGACCTCCTTACTGAGCTGTATGTCAACGTCGGAGCTACCCGACAGTGGGCCCTGATCCGCTACATCTCCGGGATCTTGAAAAAGAAGGTGGAAGCTCTTGATGAGGTGAGGACTGGGCACAGGGGCCGTGCTCTGATCCCTGGCCTGGCCTGTGGGAAGAGGCAGCGAATGGGCAAATCAATGCCTGACTTCACAAATACCTCTGAGAAACGACTTACCCGTAAGAGTCCGCCGCATCTAGAAAGGACCCTTTCATCTGGAGAGGTGACCACTGAAATGCCAGACTGTCATTCTTATTGTTTGCCCACGTCATGGCAAGTACAAAGGTCGCTTTGATTTCTGAGATGCCACAGGGACGTACTGATTTATGCGCTCACTTAGAAGTACGTGGCCTGAATGTCCGTGGCTCCGACAGCTGGAACGGGGAGTGCTGGTCCCTGCTAAAAGCTTGGCCCATCATGGTTTGGATTTGCAGACTGTACAGAAAATCCCGCTCTAGGGGCTGGGGAGAGGATAGGATCTCACACCAAGCTGAGCCCAGTACAATCCCTGCAGTGAAGATGGAACTCTAGAAAATAGTCCATAAGCCACACTGTGTATCTGAGAGGTGTGCGTGAAGCTCTCGCTGGGAGGGAGGAAAGGAGCGCGCCTGTAAGGCCGTGGCGGCTCTTTGGCTATTAAGCATCCATAACCAAGTGCATGATGGTATCTCTGTCTAGGCCTGCACTGACCTCCTGTCTCATCAGAAGCACTTGACAGTGGGGCTTCCTCCAGAGCCTCGGGAGAAGACGATCTCTGCGTGAGTTCAGCTCCTTTTGCCTCAGTGTACCAAGGCGGCCGATATCATTGCATTGATCCGGGGGTCAACTTTGAGATGGGGTGGGGAGGGAGAACATAACAGATGGTGAGTACCGTACTCTACCAGGCTCTGCCCACCTTTGAGGCTCCGCCTCTGCCTGCCCATGGGAAAGAGGTCACTGCTTTCCAAGGCTGGATCTGTATGAGCTTCCTTTCCCCTGAGCCTCGCTGGCTGTGCCCATCGTGCTGGACATATTGCCCCACCTGCTTTGAGGTCACTATGTGGGGGCTGTCTAAAGTCAGGTGAAGGGGCATTAGCCCTGTGTTGAGGGGTTGTAGATCATACCTTCCCTGTGTCTGCATGTACTGGGATCTCCTCTTTATTCCCATTGTCTCCTCAGCCCCGTCCCGTATGAGGAGCTCACCCGCCTGATTGACGAAGCCAGTGAGAAGAACATGAGCGTCTCGATCCTGACTCAGGTGACAGGTGGTTCCCGGACAACCCTATCAGTGCCCTCACAGGCCAGAGGATGCGCCTGTCCCACTGGTGGGCTGCCTTGTGACCTGTGTCTCCTTGCTTTTCCCTTTCAGGAAATCATGGTCTACCTGGCCATGTACATACGTACCCAGCCTGCCCTCTTTGCCGAGATGTTCCGCCTGCGCATTGGGCTTATCATCCAGGTGATGGCAACGGAGCTGGCACATTCCCTGCACTGCTCAGGTACCAGCCCGAGTCCACTGTCCAAAGACAGATGAGACAGACAAAGGGTGGGAGCATCCCTCTAACTCCCAGCCTGCGAGTGGCTGACCGGGGGCCCCCAGTATACAGAACACCCAGGCTTTGTTGCATGTTGCCTCACAGCTGGCATATTAGCAGAGTGGCTGCCTTTTTTCTAACACAGACAACGTGGGTGAGGTGTCTCACCCCAGCCGAACCTTCCCCAGGCAGGAAAGGGCTGTGACATCAAACTGTCCCTCAAGCTTTCACTGCAAGACCTCTGGAGTATCTAGGGAAATCTCCATGAGCCCATGTATGTGGGCACCTTGTGTCTGAGTAATGTGATTATACCAGTGGTTCTCAACCGGAGTCCACAGCCCAGTTAGTACACAGCTGCAGCCCAGCTCAGCTGTGTGCTAAAGGCCACGGGCTCCGGTTGAGAATCACTAGTATAATTGCATTACTGGGTTATATAGTCAACTTGTTGTATAGTAGTATAGCCAATAAAATAAAGCTTCTGGGGAAAATGTGAAAGGGAGATATGTAGCTAGTAAAGTTACTAAGTGCTTGATAGTACTAAAAATATAGCAAGTCCCTGCTCACCAGCTCGGCCACTTTGTTACTTTTTTTTTTTTTTTTTTTCTGTTTAAAAACTTGGCTACCTGCTCAAACAGGTCTGAATCCTCACTGTGCATTCAGCTAGCGTGTTGGGATCCTGAGAGAGATTGGGGTGTGAGAACAGCTTTGTTTGATTTTTGGGTGTTGTGAAACTGTTCCTCACTTTGAAGGGACACAGTCAGCCTAAGTTACGCTTGGATTGGGAAACTATTGGCCCTGCAAGTGTTACAAGGAAATGCCGAAGACCAGAGTGGAGGGACAACACAGAGCAGTGGCTCTCAACCTTTCCAGACTACTGTACACCCTTCAGGAGTCTGATTTTGTCTTGTGTATCCCCAAGTTTCACCACACTTAAAATCTACTTGCTTACAAAATCAGACAGAAAAATACAGAAGTGTCACAGTACATAGTTACTGAAAAATTTGACTTTCTCATTTTTTACCATGTAATTATAAAATCAGTCGATTGGAATATAAATATTGTACTTACATTTCAGCGTATAGTATATAGAGCAGTATAAACAAGTCATTATCTGTATGAAATTGTAGTTAGTACTGACTTCACTAGTGCTTTTTATGTAGCCTGTTGTAAAACTAGGAAAATCTCTAGATGAGTTGAGGTACCCCCTGGACGAACTCTGTGTACCCCCGGAGGTACACGTACCACTGGCCCAGACATAGGCCGGGGTGCGGGACTTCAGAGAACCGGGTTCAATTCCTGCTGTGCCACAGACTGTGTGTGACCCTGGGCAAGTCACTTGGGCCAGGTTTGACAAAGCTACATCATTCAGAAGTGTGAAAAAATCCAACCCCCTGAGTGCCATACCTATTCCAACCTAACCTCCAGCAAAGATACAGCTAGGTTGACAGAAGAATGCTTCCATCCACCTAGTGACTCGGGGAGGAGGTGGTCCTACAGTCATGGAAAAACCATTCCCTTACTGTAGGTTACGTCTATGCTATGGGTTTATGCCGACATAGCTACGGTGCCATAGCTGTGCTGCTATAGTCCCTGTAGTGTAGATATGCCCTTAGTCTTTCTGTGCCTCAGTTCCCCATCTGTAGAATGGGGAAAATACTCTACTTCACAGGTTTGTCATGGGGAAAATACAATAAAAATTGTGAGGTGCTCAGAGGTAATGGGGGCCATATAAGTACTTTGGATAGACTGATCCCAAAAGAACAAGTTTCTCTAAGCATGTGCACATTTCACAGCATAGTCAGTTCCCCTGTTTCCCGGATGGTTTTGTGGACTTTTTGCACAGTGACTGGAGGAGAGGGTGAGGGGAGTGGAGTGATTTGATTTGGCCAGGGGCTGTGAGGCAAGTATAGCACCTGCACTATTCTTCCCTCCTGTATCTGTAATCAACTGGACATCAGGCTGACAGTATCGCTTAGCCATATATTTTTTCTTCTGGGGAGGCAGAGCAGGATGAGAACTCAAGTGCTTCATTAATAAATCCTGGTGTGCAACTAATGTATGGAAACACCTAGATTCACTTGTGCCCCTCGAGCCAGGAACCTCTTACTAGAACTTCCTCTAAGAATCCTCCCTTCTCCACTAATGATGTAGGTTGGGAGGGGAAGGAGGTGACCTTGTTGGCAGTGTCTCTTACAATTAATCTCTGATCTCTAGCTGAAGAAGCCACCGAGAGCTTGATGAACCTCAGTCCTTCAGATATGAAGAGTCTTCTACACCACATTCTCTCTGGCAAGGAGTTTGGAGTGGAGAAGAGCGGTGAGTCTGTCTGATTAAGCTGAAATCTTGAAGTGGCTGCCTCTAAAATGATGCTGAATGTTCTTGGAGATGAAACTGTACCATAACCACACTCTGGTCTAGCCTTAGTCTCATTTCCAGCAACTCAGAGGTGTCCATTCGTCTGATGTCCCAGGCACGTGCATCTCACCATAACTTATTCAGGGATGCAGTGTCCTTCACACACCAGTGCCATGGCTGTTGGCATCCTGAGAGACCCTGGTCGTTCATCCTCATTGCCCATTGCAGTTTGGGCTGCCTGAACACATACAGGCGTGTGTCTGAGCCCAGTCCAGAATTCAGTATTAAAATAACTCCACCCCACGTTTGGTGGTAAAACAGACAGGTCCTGCCAGTGTATGGAGCGGGCATCAGTCAGGGATGACAGGACAGCTACTGGTGATAGAGGAAACTTCTCCTTCTATGGCAGTAGTTCCTGTAGTTCTGGGCTTCTGAAAAGGTTAAAGCAGGGGCACCCCAGGTCCTGCTCGGTGGAGGTGCTATAAGAAGGGCCTTGGGAGCACGAGGTGCCCTGACTGTCGCTGAATCTGTGTCCTCAGAGCCCTGGCAGTGAATTCTGACCATGCCTGTCCCCTCCTCCCTTGCAGTGCGTTCTGTTGATTCAGCCCTAACCCCTGCTATTTCCATCCGCGAGGTTGGCGCCGTCGGAGCAACTAAAACAGAGCGAGCTGGGATAGTGAAGTTGAAGAGTGAGATCAAACAGGTGTGTGTTGGTGTGGGGGAGGTGGGTGTATGGAGAGGGGCTGGGATGTTGAGGGGGTTGGGGTTGAGCTATGTGTGAGCTGGCTGGAGTACTGGGTGGGGCTGTGGAGGACATTGATTGTGGGTAGCTGTGGGATGGGCTGTAGGCAGGGGCTTGGTGATTTTATTGGTATATTGATTTTGGTTGTGTTTCAGAAGGCAATAGGTGGAGAAGCTGTATAGTAGCAAGGCATGTGTGCACCCCTCTGCTGGATGGGATGAGAACTACCCAGCTGTCATGGGCCTTGTCCTGCTAACCCATCCAACCCCCCCGCCCCCTCCCCCAATCCTCTGCCCTATCCAACTGCCCCCTGTTTCCTGTCCACTGACTGCCCCCCTTCCCCCGAACCTCCACCCCATGCAATTGCTCCCTGTCCCCTGACTGCCCCTCGGGACCCCTTACCCCTTATCCAACCCCCTGGCCCCGGCCCCCTTACCATGCCGCTCAGAGCAGCATGTCTGGTCGCCGTGCTGCCCGGCCAGAGCCTGCCATGCTACCCTGCATGAGCAGGCAGCCCCGCTGCCCAGAGCTCAGCCTGTGCAGCGGCGTGGCTGCAGGGGAGGGGTGACAGCCGGGGAGGGGCCAGGGGCCATCCTCCTCAGCCAGAAGCTCAAGGGCCAGGCAGGACGGATCCGTGGGCCAGATGTGGCCCACGCCCCTTAGTTTGCTCACCTCTGTGCTAACAGCTACTGAGAGTTTCTCCTCTTAGCTCAACTGGCAGGAGTGGGGACTGCCCTTCTGTAGCGAGATGATCAGGGCTTTATCGCCACCATTGGCAGGAAATTCCCAGTAGCTAGCATGCAGCATCGTGTGGACACCTGTTCCTGGTGTGCTCTGGTAGCTCTCCAGAAAAGTGCTGGGTTTCTCCTTGTCCACCTGACTCTGCGGGCCCACTCCTGTACCTTCCCCCTGCATGCTTGCTAGTGGGCTGCTGAGTCAAGCTTAGGATTTCTTTGAGATGGCAGTAATAGAGTCACTGAGCAGACATTTCCAGGGCTACTCTTTAATCCTGCGTCTCCCTGGGCCCTTGGCTCCAGCATTGCATCCAAAGTATAAATAAAATGAGGAATCCTGCATCCTGGGGTATATGTCACGGTGAAACCTGTGATGCATCTGTCTTCTGTGTAACTCTGAACTCAGCAGCCTGGCAGCTTGCTGTGCTCCTGTGCGAGCAGGATGCCACGAAGGGTGGGGGACAGCACACAACATGTGCTCCGCTGGTGACTCTGTTGTAGGGCTTGTTTGTGTGGAAAGCCAGGTTAGCCCGAGGTGTGAATCTGGAACAATGTTAAGTGCACTGATGTGTGCGTTCACACACCTGTGGATTTCAGTTTAGCTTAAGCTGGCTAGGAACAGAATTAAGTTAAACTGAAATAAGATTGTCAATACAAACCCCTGGATGGTCTTTCCCATGCAGATAGACCCTTAGATTAAGAGGAGAAACCAAACGAGCAAACATGCAGGTTGTTCTGATACAAGCGTCTGCTCTTTGAGTGTAAGTGGAAAAGCCGTGAGGACTAGCGGTGAAGCTAGGCTCGTAAGAGGAAGGATGGTTCAGTGGTTAGGGCACTGAGCCACAGGACACCCAGATTCCATTCTCTGCTCTGCCAGAGCAAATCACTCAGTTCCCACGTGTACAATGGGGATATGGCCCTGCCCTGTGGTTAGCGATGGAGCCGTTCTGAGGAGGGCCATAGAAGTACCTTAGACGGAGATGCAGGCCTCGGAGTGAGGGAGGTGGAAGGGAACAGAAGTTGTAAGTTATATAGCTAACTGCACTGTGGTTACCAGCCAGACTCTTCCTTGAGCTGTGGAATGCAGCATATCTGTATTGCTGCCCCAGTCACATTGTCTGTATCGTGATCTCCTTTTTATCTTTCAGCAACTGGATAAACGTAGGCAGTCTCTGAGGGACAGTAAGGTGAAACCACCAATGTTCTCTTCAAGCCTTAGCTTATTTGGCAACCTTGCGCACCCAGAAAGCTTCTGAGCATGCATGAGCTAACGGGCTTGTTTCAAGCCATAGCAAGTGAGCTGCCTTCCCCTATGACAGCTTAGGGTTTGGGGCTCAGCTCTCCAGCTGGAGGAACTGTGAGCTACAGTTGGGTCGCTTGAAGGACCAACCAGCAAACTACAGGCCAGAGCTGTGAGCAAGAGGCTCTTGGGTGAGGTTGTGACTGTGTCTTGTGTTCCCTAAGCTTTAGTCCTCGGCTGGTGGTGACTTGTGGCCTGGGAAGCTGTGAAGAGCAGATGGAATCCAGTGTTGGGTCTCTCTGCCCCAGACTAATAGCATTGCCATTCTGGGACCCAGTCTGGGAACTCCTGTGGTTCTCTGGCCAGGGGTCAGCCAGGGGTCCTGGTGGGGCTGGGAGAGGAATAGGAACAATGGACGTACCATAGTACACAGTGCTGGAGGATCAACGGTGAGGAGCACTCAGCAGGCCTCTGACCCGCTTTTCTTCTCAAAGCTCTTCCCAGGACCCCTCCAGGGGATAATCTTTGCTAGAGAAGATCACTAGTCTTAGCCAGCTGTTTTAGCAATGCAGGCCTGGCCTACAGGGGGAAAAGGGGTGGGGGGAGACAGAACAGAATCCAAACGATGGTGCTTTGTTCCATGCTGTGGGACACACTGGGCCTGTCTGCATAACCACAGATGTTTAACTTGCTAGAACACACTGGGTCAGGAAGCTCACTTAGTTCATTGCAGTGAAGCTAAGTAGGCAGCATGCCCTGTAGTTAACTAGTCTGGCTGTTGGGCACAGCGTATACCTTGCGCTGTGGAATGCAGCACAGCCCCTAATCACACTGCAGGACTCCTGTCAAATAACCCCACCAAGCAAATCGACTTCTGCTCTCCCTTCCCAGCTGCCTGATAGAGCAGTAGGGAACGTGGCTCCCTCTGAATCCCCTGCTGCCTCCTGCCCACTCCCGGGCTGTCACTCTGGGATGGGCTAGCTACTGCTGCAGTGCTGATGTGATGAGCTCACTGGCTCTTTCCAGGCCCTACCTTAAATAGCCTCTAGCTGGGATACTGTAAGCCTCTGTGCCTGAGTAGATCTAAACCTCCAGGACCACCCCCTCCGCATTAGATTCTAACCAGGCTGAGGGGCTGACAGTGTAGCTACTGTGTCCTAAAGCCACAGTCTGGCACGGTAATTCTGGAAGGGGAGCCCAGCTCCTTGGATTTCACACTGTGCAGTGTGTCACCTTGTAAATGCTAAACTGTTTAACCAGCCTCTCCAGGCATCCACCTGGCTCTTTAATCTCCTGCCCTGGTATGTTCCTGCCCCTCTTCCAGCTTTGGTTTAATGTGAAACTCTGTGGTGCATCTTCCTAAACTGGCTCTAAAGTCTCTGGCTAGCCACAATCACCTGGGATAGACATTGAATGACACCAAGCTTTGCCCGTGCTTCTGCTAATGCTTCTGCTGCCTGCTCCATCCCATCAGGCTTTCACTGTCTCTCTTCTCCTCTCTAGTCTTGTGGCTTCCACTCTCTGGAGATGGATTCAGGATCTCCTCTGGTAATGTGCATCTTATGTTTACACATGCAATGTGTCTGTTCCAGAGCATTTTGCTAGCTAGAGGCAGGAATCTCTTCACCCTGGGGTGGAATGCAGCCACCTCTGGAGTGGAATACAATAGCCCATTAGCAGTGGCTAGCAAAGTTACACAACCATTTAGGACAGGAAGCCAGCTATAGCAGCATTAAGCACAAGCTAGGCACACAGCCACTTGGGAAGACTCTTTCAAGGCAGGCTTTGACACTCAGGGCTAATGTAGCTCTTCTGAGGAAGCAGGCCAGGAGAAAATGGTGCTGTCTGGTCAGTCTCCCCAGCCCAGGCTTGATGGTGGAACCAGAAGGCAAGGTGGTGATGGGATTCTCCATTTCCACAAGGCCAGCTGTGGAAATGGAGAATCCAGATGCAACTCTGGTGCTCTAGAAAGGTAGAATGTAATAACCCCCTCTGGATTGTCCCCAGGGCACTAGGCTAATGCCCTGACTTGGGCAGAGATTGCCAGGGGATCTGTGGCTTTGTCTCATCAGACAGCATTCTGTGTGTCCTAATCCATATTAGGACATTGGTTAATGCTGGTTGGGAGAGGAAGTGTCCTCTACAGAATTGTGTTCTTTGGTCTCCCCTTCAAGTACTAGCCCAGCCTGATCCTTCTTGTGTAACTTGAGCTGCTGAGATCACAGCCCGGGGGAACATGGTCAAGTGCTTCTCTGCAGTTAGAGCTCCGCAAGCTAGGGAGGTGCTCTCTCTAGTGCTTCATCCTGGTCCTGTTGCCTTCACTGCCTTCTGTTTTGTCCTCAGAGTTCTGGAAACTCCTTCTTGCCTGCTGGAGGATCCTTTGCTAGCATGCTGGAAGATCAGGTCTCCAGAGATGGCCGCCATGGCCAGTGGCAGCGGAGAAGGCGGCTGGACGGAGCTCTCAACAGGGTCCCGGTGGGGTTCTACCAGAAGGTCTGGAAAATCCTGCAGAAGGTGAGGTGGTCTCATGCTACCATTCAGCTGTCCCTTCCACACGTGTATGTGTGAGTGCGTGAGCGCACATGCATGCACCTGGCTCCCCTTGGCCAGTGTTCTCACATCATGGGGACGATCCACCGGCAGCACACACACCTCATCGTTCTGTGTTCTAGCCAGCTCAGCAACTACCCTACCCCTGCCTTGGAGGGCCTATTCCAATAGCTGCAAGCCATGCTGGTTTCCAGAGTTTGCTTGGGAGCTCTGCGACAAAAGCCCAGCACCATAAAGCAAGGTGCTTTTTATTACTGCTGGGAGTCCCACCCTGTTGGCTGGCTTTGCTGCTAAATTCTGTTCCCAGGGCTGCATAGGTGTAAAAGGCCCATTTCATCTCTGTGCTGACAGAGGGAGGCAATTTGTGACTCTCTTGTTCAGGGGCTGCAGGGGCACCAGGGGCACATGTGGCCCCCTGCATTATCCAGGACAGCCCAGATTTGCCTCTCTGCTGCTTTTAAAGTGCAGCTAGAGGCCCAGATGGGTTTACTGCCTGGTGCTGGGGAGGAATTCCTGCACAGACCTAGCTGCTAGTCTGGAGAGGTAGGTCATGGTACCAAACTGCCAACTAGAGGTACGGTCATACAGCAAGGCATGGATGTGAGACATACAGCACCAAACTTGGGGCTTGTCTACATGGTAAATGGAAGCAAAGGGACTGTTGCAATCCACCCCTTTGTCATTCTGCTGGATGTCTGGGTCTGGACACTCACTTTCAGTGAAAGGGCTTTATCTGTCAGTAAAAAGCCTGTTTCTTGGGAGAACTAATCCAGTTTAACCAAGGTGATACGAAGGCACTCGTACACAGTGTGTGCCCACGCCCAGACTTCAACTGAAATAGCTAGGGGTTGAGTTACTACTGCAATTATTGTTTCAGGTCCCCTTACCATGTAGAAAAGGCCTAAACTTTACCATGTGTCCACCACATCTGGGTGCTAACTGCATTTCTCAAGGCTGCATGCTCTGTGTGGTGAATGGAAAATGCAGTTATTGGTTTGCAGGGTTTTAAAAACTCCGCTCGGGGACGGGGGAATCCAGGATAGTGAACAGCAGCCTGTCTGGGCTGCAACCTCTAACCCTTGGTCTTATTCTGCAGTGCCATGGCCTCTCTGTGGAGGGCTTTGTACTTCCAGCCTCAACAACCAAAGAGGTAAGAGCTTTGGGGCGGGGGTATCAGTTGACCTTATGAGGGAAGTGTGTGTGAGAAATCGTGTCAAAGTGTTAAGATTGCAAATTCAGGCAGTCAGGTGTTCCAAGGTTAGGACGTGCCAGAATTAAGGCTGCCCATACCAAAAGCCTTGGAATGATTATTTTACTGCTGACAAAGCTGTCCTTTCCCCAGCCTCATTCTCAAAAAGCCAGACTGTCTTTGTTCTAACTTCATTGTCCTCGTCTTCCTCCCAACCCCCAAAATAAATCCGGCTCAGACAGAGAACATGCGTGGAAAGGTCAGCCTGCAGAATGATGTTTGTCAGAGTTTGCAAAGCAGTTGAGAATGGTTTGAGAAGCATCAGGTAGCTGTAACATAGGTGTTGCTACCACTCTGCCTCTCTCTCACTTATCTCCCCACCCTGCAAGTATTTGCATAATAGTTCTTATTCTCCCTCCCAGCCCATCACCTTTTATCTCCAGGGAGGTCTAAACAGGGCCTGGCTCTCCCAGCACATCAGCTCTTCTCCCTTTCCCCCGCCATCCCATCATCGGGGCTCTAAACGATCCCCCGCCCACTTGTCTGACTATTCCCCCTCCTGGTTGGTGAGAGTGTCTCGCTGCTTCCTCCCCCTCTTGACTGTGGAGCAGCAGGGTCTCGATCGCTGTTTTCCCCATGTGGATGAGAGAAGGCCCTGCAACTCTCAACAGTGCTGAGCCTCTGGGCTGGTCAAGCACCTGCTCTCAGGCACAGAGCGGAACGTTGAGTGGCTTTGCTGTGTCATGAGCAAGACCAGTCTGCGATGGTGGCTGCTTCTCCCACATTGTGGCTAGCTGCTCTGTTACTTCTGTGCCAAAACATTTAAAATTCTGCGCACAATATTTTAAAATTCTGCACAATTCTGCAAATTTTATTTGTCAAAATAACACAATATAATCACACCAGTTTCAATTATTTTTGGTCATTTATCTCAAAATACCTGTCAGCAAGTAGATCTGTAACAATACAGACAACGAAAAAGATTCAGGATGTGGTTTTTGACATAGATTCCTTACTAGGCATATTAATACAGAATTCTGAGTAATAATTCATTTAAACTACAACACAGAACCATATTTCCCACACCCCTCAGAAGCAGGGCACAGGCCTGTGGGATTCAGGGGTAATGGAGGAGCTGAGTGAGAGGGAAGTAAATGGCTGGGAAAAAGCCTGGCTGTGAACTTGGAGGGTTCTTGGGTATGGGTGGGAAAAGTATGGAACAGGTTTTTTGCGGGAGTGGGGAGGGATTGTTAGGGAGCTTCCCCATGCAGACCCTGGCTGACCCCTAGCCTCTCCCATTCGGTCAGGCACATCTGCCCCTGTCCCCATGTGTTCCTGCACCCTTATGTATCCTTACACTCCCTGTCCACATGTCCCTCCACCCCCACTCAGACACCCACTCCAGTCCATCCTCATGTGGCCCTGAACCCCATCCCCATGTGTCTCTGTGCCCCTTCCTAGCCACTCCTCTGTCCCTATGTAGCTCTGCACCCCAGCTCCCATCACCATGTGGGCCTGCACCCCCCTCCCTCCTCTGGCTCTGTGCCTCCACTCCCATTCAGCCCCTGCCTCAGTCTGTCCACCATCACTAGCCCTTAAGAGCCCCTGTCTGGGCCCATCCCCCACCAGCACCCCATGCTGTCTGTCTCCCCATAGCCCCTGTCTCCTGGCCTGACAGGCACAAAGAAGACACTGAAGGCTCTCTTTCCCTTGCTGGCTGGGAGCTGCTGATTTGTTCTATTGCCACAGTGTCCTCTGGTGGGCAAAATGCAGAACTGCAGCAACATTTCAGCAGAAGCTTTTTTTCTAAGCAAAAAATTAAAAATATGCATGGCTTATTAATTATGCATGCACAAAGTAGCATAGAATTCCCCCAAGAGTACTCTGTGAAGCACGATCTTCAGTGCTTCTGACCTCAAGGGCCCCATCAGCCTCAGTCAGCCAGTTGCTCTGTCAGTACATTGCCCCTGCACCGGCACATCCCTTATGGAGGGAGGCGCTCGGAATGTAGGTTCCATCCCACTGACTTGCTGGGGAGCCCTGGGCAAAGCACTTTCTCTGTCTGTGCTTCTGTTCATCCATCTACACAATGGGGCTAAGGATACTGAGCAATTTGCTGCCTGCTATGAAATGCTACAAAGCGCTAGATTGTGGGTTTTGGGCTGGGTGTGTGCTGTGAGCGTTGTGGGGTTCACTGGAACATGGGACACACCTGCATGTGTATTAATAGGCTTTTGTTTCTCACAGATGACTCCTGGGGAGATCAAGTTTTCAGTCCATGTGGAGTCCGTCTTAAACCGTGTCCCGCAGCCAGAATACAGGCAGCTCCTGGTAGAAGCCATCCTTGTCCTGACCATGCTGGCAGATGTGGAAATACACAGCATTGGGGGCATCATTGCAGTGGAAAAGATTGTGCACATAGCAAATGACTTATTCTGTGAAGAACAGGTAGGGAACCTGCCCTCTGCCAGAGGGAATGAGTGAGATGAACCTGGCCTTGGACTGTGTGGGGCTGTGGTGGCAAGCGTGCATGTCGTACGTTCCTTAGCACATGTGGGTCATGGCACAGAGAACTTGCAGCAGCAGTACAGTCAAAGGCTTCTACTGAGTGTCCATTTGAGACTCAAGCCCTGATGGTTAAGAGCGAGTTTACATGTCACCTCCAGGGAGTGACCAGGTTCCCCAAAATCCAGGACATATTTCTAGCGATGGTGATGAGGGTGGAGAGGAGGAAGAGGTGGTGGTGGTGGCGGCAGGGTTTGGGCAGTAGAAATGGGGGTGCTGGTGGTGCTTGCTGCTGGAGTATAGGCAGGGTTGGCTGGGGGTGTTGGGTGGAAGTGATGTGGCACTTGGGGATGCACAGGTGGCTGATAACTCCCTTCTCTCCTTTTCCCCACTCCTCACCCACACAGAAAGCACTGGGCGCTGATGACAACATGCTGCAGAAGGATCCTGCCACAGGCATCTGTACCTTGCTATATGACAGTGCCCCTAGTGGCAGGTTTGGCACCATGACCTACCTCTCCAGAGCAGTGGCAACGTATGTGGAGGAGTTCCTCCCCAGCAGTGGCTGCACCATGCAATAGACCCATCTGGACTTGCAGCTGGAGTTTACAAACTGCCTTGGGTTACCTTTTAGAAGTCAATGGCAGGCGTTAAGCTGGCTTGCTGGTAGACTGTCTCCATGCCATGAAAACTTGTTGAATTCAGGGGTGGAACCTACCATCTCCTAGCGTCACCCTGGGGAAAAAAACACCCTGCTTGCAATAGCTGTTCTCAGCAGGGGACATGTGTCTCTGCTGACGCCAAGTGATGTTTCAGGAGAGCATGTTTGTGTGATTAAACCATGGCTGTGTTTGCATACAGCCATTCCAGCTGTTCCCTGGCACTGAATCCAGGACCAGGCTCACATGGGAGAGGCCTCTGCTGAGGGTCCCGGGGTCTGATCCCTGCTTGGATATGGGGTATCTGTATGTGTGTTACAAGTCAGCACTTGGGGTGGGTTTCACTCAGTGAGGTGGTGAATGGGGGAGGGCTCTGCAGATGCACGCTATGGCACTCAGGCTGGTCTCACCTCACTGGTTTCCCTCCATTGGGTTTTGGGTTTTGAATAGGCTCTTGCCGCTTTAGCCCCAATGTGTGTGGAATTTTGAAGAAGGGTTTTATAAACTGAATGGTAGCTTACCCTGTTGTCGTAGGGGCATGGGCCCCGAGCAGACCCTGCTGGCATTAACTTGCTGAGCAACCCAAACCTAATCTCTGGACTCTGCCCCGTTAGTCCCACAGGCTTCTTCCCACAGTGCAGTCTGGACCTCTCTGCTCTTCTGCCCCCCAGAGCTGTGAAGCTTTCAGAAACCAGGCAGAATCACTTTAGAGGGCAGGTGTATTGAGACCCTGAACCACTCCCCCGTCTGCTGGGAGCTGTGAAAGAGAGTGCTGATTCTAGTCACTTTTGGCTGGCTCTCCAGCCCCATCCTACACCATGTTCAGCCAGGCTTTGACGTGCTGTGTTCCTGCTAATAAGGCCTGTTGTCGACTCACCCTCCTGGAGTATCCCTTGTGGCCTGGGGTGGCATTTTGGTGACTCTGTCTCTCTCCCCTCATCAGGACTTCAGTGGGGACATGGCCCTCTGCCCAGGCTGCTCTGTTGCCCCTCCTCTTGTGGGGTATGGGTGTCACCAATAAATCCTATCTGACAGAATACAGGCAATGAACAAGTCTTCCACCCCCAGCCTCCTCTCCAGTCTCACTTGTTTTCCAGAGCAATTGACTCTGGGCTTGTCCCCAGAACCCCTCAGCAAAACCCAAACACCAACTGACATACAAACCCAGCAACTTCTGCCCAGCCCCAGCTTGAGCTTGTAGCCAGGTTAGGTTTTCCCTGGTGCTCCATTCTTCTACCCAACAGCAACCCCCCCCCAAGGGCCCCCTCCCTGGAGTCCTGCCCCCTTTCCTAAGCCCACCACAAGCATGAACTCCACTATGGCCCTTTCCCACCATACTCCTCCTGCCCGGCTCCTGCAGAGAGGGCCTCCAGACAACCTCTCCTGACTCTCCCTGCCTCCGTGGCACTGACCTCCTCCAGCCTGGTCCCCCTGCAGTTGTAACACAGTGGGGCCCCTTCGTAGTGGGGTGTGGCTTATGCACCCCCTCAAGGCTGTGTCCAGCATGGTACAGATGGTTTCCGTCTCTGAGGTGCAGGACCTGGGCACACAGGGTGTCCAGCTCCTCCTCACACTCACTCGTTGTCAGGAGCTGACAGTTCCTACCCTTCAAGGCCTCCCAGAGCAGTTCTCCCTTTCACAGCACCTGCTCCGATGCCAGCAGCTTCTTTTGCACATTCTCTGCCACTGTGACCATATGCTTGCAGTCTGTCCTGTTCAGTGCCTCTGCAGTAAGGGCCTCAGTCTTTTTACCTAGCCCCCTGCAAGCTGCTAAGAGTTGGTAGTCACCAGCACTTCCCCCGTTTTGTTTGAGGCAGTGTCAGAGTCCCCGCTGCAGGCTATTCAGCCTCACATGTGGGCTCCACTCCCATGTCCTCATCTCAGCCCAGAGGGAAACCTGCTTCTGCCCCAGCTGTTGCTGCTGCTTCCAGTGTTCCACCCCTGCCTTTGCCTAGGCTGGTTCTTGTCTGGCCACTTGGGCCATCACCTCTTGCCAGGCAGTGCCTGTTTCCACTAGCTGTCACTTACAGGCTTTCAGCTGGCCAGGCAGAATCTGCAGGTGACTCATGGCTGCTGGCTGGCTGCCTTCAGCAGCCTCCAGCGGGGGTTCTACCATCTTTGAGTCCTCCCCAGCCTCAGCAGTCCTGGGCTGCAGCTCTTCATTCACCCAAGCCCTTCCCTTCCTTTGCATCATCATCTTCTGTACCGGGGTTGGGAATTCCCACCAATCCCTCCCCAGGATCGCAGGCTGAGGGAGAATCTTGACTGCTCCAACCTGTATATGCCACCCCTGGCCCCGTACCTCCAGCTCTAGTCGGTCGTGGGACATGCCCCCCCTCCCCACCCCGCCCTGTCTTCCTGGACACGAGATGTGCACTGGCAGGTGTTTGGTCCACGTTTCTTCAGCCCAGCATTTGTCCACACCCTGAACCCATCAGGACGTCTACTGCCACTCCTCCCCCTTAGGTAGCCCTGCGTGTGGTAGCTTTTTAACCTTGTCCAGGGAGGACCCTGCTGCACAAACTTCAGTGTAATAATTAATGTATCTGTGCTCCATCAATGGACAGTCCCTCCTAAAGCATCCTGGCTTGCTGCACTGACTTCCTTGGCTGCCCCCAGAGGAGCTCCGTTTGACTGAGGGACTAACCGGAAGGCTGGTAGATCTGGAGTGCCCTTGAAAAAATGTCCTCAGTTTCCTGGTAACTCCCCCATTGACGCACCTCGTCCACCTGTCTCCCCTGCTGGGACACTCCTAGCCTGGCTCATCGTTCAGGCTTGGCCCTCTCGGCTTCAAAACAGGCTTTGGTAGGGTGGCCAATTTTGGTAGGATGTATTTCTGGAGGTTTCATCACAGGACGTAATCTCTAATTCCTGGTGACTTCAGGACAGTTCTGGCAGGTTGGCAGCTCTAGGCTTTGGCCTGCTCTCATCTCGCCTACTGATGGAGGCCAGAAACCATCTTACCCCACTTCGGACCCCTCAGGGCACGAGCTGTAGAAATTGCTGCAGGACCACATGGTCCATGACTCTTTTCCACTGAGCTGGTCAAGGCACAGCCACCAGGATGCGAGATCCTGCAAGCGTTGTGCCACTACTTGTGGCAGAGATCCCCCCGGGGAGGGCTGGCTCCAGAACCAGAGCTGATACGCTGCTAGAGTCAGTCCTAGCCTGTTCAAAATGGCAGCCTTTGCCAGCCAGTTCTGCCTTACATCGCAGTATGCAGCCTGAGCCTCTCCTGTCACAAAAAGAAAAGGAGGACTTGTGGCACCTTTTCAGAGACTAACAAATTTATTTGAGCATAAGCTTTTGTGAGCTACAGCTTCACTTGAAGCTGTAGCTCACAAAAGCTTATGCTCAGATAAATTGGTTAGTCTCTAAGGTGCCACAAGTCCTCCTTTTCTTTTTGCGAATACAGACTAACACGGCTGCTACTCTGAATCCTGTCACAAAGGGCATCATGGGGCTGCTCAGGCTGATCCCTCCAGCTGGCCATGCTGGAGTTTGCTGGAATGCCTCCCCTGGCTTCATCAAACCAAGGACCAACTGTCCTGACTTGTGCTCCCTTGGGCCAGCCGGACTTCCCAGAGCCCCTGGGCCCAGCTGCTTCTTGCTGCTTGTATTGAGCCTTGTGCCACTGCTGTTGCGTGGCAAATGGTGCTTCCTGCTGGTTGTCCTAGTTGTAGGAGTCGCACCTGAGTGTGCCATGGCTGCTGTTGTAGCGCAGCCATCTGCAGCTATTGCTGGGCCACCGCCAGCAGATGTGCCAGCCCCACTCTTCTTTCCCTTCCCAAATACTGGGCCAGGTCCCTCTGGCCCTATTTCAGAGGCTGATCAAGGTGCTCACATGCTCTGTGTTCTGTCGCAGACACACCATCCTGGAGCACCCCCTTGTGGTGTGACATGGCATTTCAGCAACTTGGCCTCACTCTTCCCCCTCTGGACTTCAGTGGTCTGGTGCAGTGGGGCCGTGGTCCTCTGGCCAGGCCATGCTATAGTTCCACCTCTTCTGGGAAATCTGTGTCCCAAACAAATATTATCTGATAGAATAATGGCAATGCACACGTCTTCCGCCCTGCAGGCTCTTCTTCAGGCTCTCATTTGCCAGAGCAGTGACTCTGGGCTTCCCCCAGGAGCCCCTCAGCAAAATCTAACACCAGCTAAAATACAAACTCACTTCTGCCCAGCCCCTGCCTGGCTCTCAGCAGCCCTCACCTTCCACAGACTGGAATCTGCCTGGAGAAAGGGTCCACCCTGGCATGAGTTCTTAGCCCATTTTAGGTTCTTTCCCAAGTGTGACCCCCCCGCAGGTGTAACCCTGCGGGGCTGTTAGAGCTCTCAGCTGTAACTAAACCTTCTTGGTTGGTGTGAGATCTGCATCCCATCCCATCCCCATTTATCTCTCCAGATGAAACCAGCAGTAAATTAACTGCTTCCCGGTCACTGCAGCAGTGGACTATGATGGCACTGGTCCTCCCTTGCATTCCCAGTACCTGGGTGGGGTGTGTTCACCTCTCAGAGAGCTGGCTGCTGGCTCCAGATCCTGAATTTCACCACTTAGTGATGGTATCTGCTGCAGAGCTCTTTGGGGGTTTAAAGTACCATATGAATCTGCACTAGATCTTTCCTAATCTAACAGGCTAAACCCTCCGCAAAGTAGGTCAGTGCCGCACAAACCAGGTCAGTGCATGAGCAAACATCTCTTGCAGTGTGTGGATTTCTCTGCTGGCTTCACCAGAGCCTTTTCCTAAGGCAGCACTGTGGCTAATAGAGTGAAATGGTTTTCCTGTGTGTGTTCAGTAGCTGATGTCTTCATTTCTTTGCCTTTAACAAAGTGTATGCTCCCTGGAGGCATTGGGTGCATTGTCCTCATTGCACGGACACAACACTAGGAGAATCTCCTAGGTGGTCAAATTTTTTTTTCCATCTTAACTTCTTTCCTCCCACAGCCCCCCAGCCACAAATGAACTCCCCCATCTGATCTTTTAATACCATCGGAACATCTGAAGCCATGGGTGTTAGTGCTGTGTGCGCAGTAGGGGTTCCCGACAGCTCCATGGAAAGGGAGGCTAGGGTATCTGCACTGCCCAGAAACCACCTACCCCTCCCACCCTCTTCACATAATAAAATAACCCTAAACAGGGAAGTAAAAGCTTCTGTTACACTTAGGCCATAGACTACCTGGTGCTTTCTAATTGTCTGTCAGAGAATGATCCTGAATGCCATAGACGTGGCTGGTTCTCATTTATGCACGTCAAGTTCCTTTCTTAGTTGGGAGTAGTTGACCCGTGTATACGCTATGCAGGCTGCTCTAGGGGTGATCGGAGAATGTAATGATCAAAAACCAGCTTCTCATAGTGCCAGAGATTTTTACCCACTATAAAAGGTTACAGTGAATGTATAAGGGGGAGCCTCTCCCATTTGCAATGGTTCTATATGTAGGATGACCACACTGTAGTACCATGATTACAGTGTCCTCTAGCAATACAGCAGGAGCCCTCCATCAACTGGTGGTCTAACACTTGCAAATACAACACTGACTGCCTCAGATGGGGTATCAGTGATGGGGATTGAATCTGGGACCTCTGGATCTTAATGCAGGAGTGCCTACTGGCTTATTAACTATGTGGCCTGGCCACCAGTAGAAAGGGACAGAGCACCATTGGCTGTCCGTGGGTGGGGACGAAACTAGTACAAGCTCCTTGGCTGCACTTCTGCATTAAGATCGAGAGGTCTCAAATTCAATCCCCATCACTGATAGCCCCTATGTCAAAAATCAGATGGGGTCTGAACTGTCCATCCCACCACCACCGTCTTGGCTTCATAGCTTCTGATCCAAGTCCCCTGAAGGTCTGGGACTGACGAACTAATGGTCCAGTGTAAGATTGGGGCTGAGGAACAACATGTATATGTAAAACCCTGTGTTCCCTTTGCAAGGGGAAAGTGCTGCACAGCCACTGCTGAAGGCAGAGTTTGAGATACTTGGCACCTAATACACACTGGCAATGAGGCTCCCGTTGTGGGATGCCAGGAATCAGATCTCCTGCTGTGGGGCTTCTGTTTAGCTGCATTTTTATTGGGGGGGTTTCTCTTAAAATTTGCTTTTGGAGAGTGCCTGCCTAGAGAGCAGGGTCTGAGCTGCACCTCCATAGCGGGCATGAAGCGCTAAAGCCTTGTAAACCCAGCTGAGGCTAGGTAATACCCAGTTGAGTAGGTAGATAGGGTGTTCCAGTGCAAGGCTGCTTGCTGCACTCCACTTTGATGGTTTGCTGACTGTAACGCAGTTGCACTCTCTCACTTAGCCACGTAACATTTTCAGACTCCATTTCCTAGATCTCACCTTTGTTTTCAGGGTGTGAGGGCTGAGAGGCACGTAAACATTAGTCTTTTTTTCTAATAAAACAAAAAAGGCAAAACTTGACTGAAGCCTGAAAAGCTAGAATAAAATGCCTCTATTTTCAACACACCTGTGTTTTCATTTCTGGTCATTGGTGAGCGAGCTGCATGAGGGAGAGTGACTGTAGTGGGGGGCGGGGCTGGCTACTGCTGAGGTAGAGCTACAGGCTCTGGCCAAGAGTCATAGCTTGGGACAAATGGGAGTTTGCAGCTTTGAGTGGTGGGGGGTGGTTTAATGTGTATTACTGTAAGAGCCTAGGGTGCAAGTCTGACTGGGGCTTCTTTGTGCTAGGTGCTGTGCAACTCTGTCCCAGCCCCCATGGGCTCAGTAGAGGCTCCTGATGTCTATATTTGTGTATTTTAACCAGAGGCCACTGGAGCCACAAGCAAGTTTAGCTAGGGTAAGAGCAGCATACCTAATTCATCAGCCAGATTCCTGTTAGTAATGTTTGTATTGGGGTGGGGCCTAGAACTTGTCAAGGATCAGGGCCCTATTATGCCAGGTGCTGTATGCTAATCCCACAAAAAGTCGGTCCCTAAGAGACAACAGGTTGGGGAGGGGGGCAGGCCAACAGCGAGTGATTATAATTTGTGTAACAGTATCACTAGCCCCAGCCAGACCTAAAAGTGAGTCAGGCCCCAAAATTCACAAGTTCGGTTTTAAAATCACATGTTTTGTTTTTTTAAATGGGGTGGTTCTCTGTGGAGACTGAGTCACATTTTCAAACTTAAAGAATGAGGAGTCCTTGTGGAAAATATAGTAGGAAGATACACACACAGACACACACACAGAGAGAACATGAAAAAATGGAGGTTGCCATACCACCTCTAATGAGACTAATCAATTAAGGTGGGCTATTAGCAGCGGGAGAAAAAAAAACTTTTGTAGTGATAATCAGGATGGCCCATTCCAAACCATTGACAAGAAGGTGTGAGTAATAGTAGGGGGAAAATTAGCAGGGAGAAATAGTTTTTAGTTTGCCAGCACTGCCCCTCTGCCATGTACATTGGCCAAACGGGACCGTCCCTACGTAACAGAATAAATGGACACAAATCAGATGTCAAGAATTATAACATTCAAAAACCAGTTGGAGAACACTTCATTCTCCGTGGACACTCAATTACAGACCTAAAAGTTGCAATTCTTCAACAAAAAAACTTCAAAACCAGACTCCAATGAGAAACTGCACAACTGGAATTAATTTGCAAACTGGACACCATTAAATTAGGCTTGAATAAAGACTGGGAGTGGATGGGTCATTACACAAAGTAAAAACTATTTCCCCAGGCTAATTTTTCCCCTCCTGTT